TATACAAAATTGCACATTCAAATATACCATTCATTGAAAGAACTGGAATTCCTTAGGGATTGATAAACCCTTACATTGTATATATGAAAATGGTTTCAATATCCTGTACCTTTGCCACATCTTGAAAATTAAACTGAAAATGTAGTCAGAAATTCAACATTGTTTCCCGTATTTTGAACAGACACTCCTTACCTTCCCTGACACTGGACCTGGATAGTAATCCAAAAACACTTGTATCCATTATGAAGGATACACTCAGACTGGGCTATTGAGAATCTTACCTGGTTATGATTATTTTAGTACTCACTCACATAGGTACATGTAAATTATCTGCAGTGTAGGGTAGGTAAAAAGATTGTCCAGGTGAACATTTTTTACTCAACTTTTCTGTTTTGTTCGAGTTGGGAAGCATGCAGTAAGCCAGTTATTGCATGATTTCTCGTCACTCGGGACTTATTACACCCTCGCTTCGCTCGGGTGTAATAAATCCCTTGTTACTCGAAAACCATGCAATAACCTTTACTTACTGCATACTTCCCACCTCTCACAATGGAAAAGTGTGGGCAATAAATAACTTGCTACCACAGTCCACTGCACACATAACCCCTTTCAAGGCCAATCATGATTACATGACCATGAAAGGGGGTGTGCCCAGTGGACTGTGGTCACAAATGCTGTAAGAAAGGGGAGATAATCAATCAGAAAAACAATACAGGGGAAAGGATAAACTTATATAATTAGTTGACACATTTAAAATAAGAAAAAAAGAAGCTTAAAATGGTTATTCATGATTGATAAACAAAAAAAAATCCTTGTCAACGTGAGATGATACGCATTTCCTGGAAAAGTTTAAATTCTTTAGGAGCTGTTCCTTTATACAAAATTGCACTTCCAAATATACCATTCATTGAAAGATCTGGAATTCCTTAGGGATTGTTAAACCCTTATATTGTATGTATGAAAATGGTTTCAATATCCTGTACCTTTGCCACATCCTGAAAATTAAATTGAAAATGTAGTCAGAAATTCAACATTGTTTCCCGTATTTTGTTCTAATTGTTGAACAGACACTCCTTACCTTCCCTGACACTGGAGCTGGATATAGTAATGCAAAAACACTTGTATCCATTATGAAGGATACACTCAGACTGGGCTATTGAGAAAAAAGACAATCTTACCTGGTTGTGATTATTACCCACACAGGTACATGTAAATTATCTGCAGTGTAGGGTAGGTAAAAAGATTGTCCAGGTGAACATTTTTTACTCAATTTTTCTGTTTTGTTCGAGTTGGGCAGCATGCAGTAAGCCAGTTATTGCATGATTTCTCGTCACTCGGGACTTATTACACCCTCGCTTCGCTCGGGTGTAATAAATCCCTTGTTACTCGAAAACTATGCAATAACCTTTACATGTGTTTTGTTTACCGACCTCACCTGTACGTATCACGTGCTAACAGTTCACAAGCTCTTGTTCGCTACGACTTTTGTTGTCGAGCGAGTTACGCTCTGTCAGATAAATCGGTTCACAAATGCAATTACAATAACTCTGTTAAAAAGTGGTTTGTAAAATATCAAGATCCCTATAAAATGCAAGTGCATGTGCGTGCACGTAATAACGGCATACCATGCGATAGCGTATGGTTACATATGTACCTGACATGTTAATATATTATGCGTAAGCGGGCTATGGAATGATGTCCAAAGTGTACATTGAGAGTAATTTTGTTCCATAAAAGAACAGTATATAGTAATTTAATTTATTTCCGTCGTTTTTGGTATATTAAATGAAATAAGTGTCATTGTATAAATTCTATCCCTCTGCAAAAAGTTCCTGCAAAAAATGTAAAATAAATTAATTATGAAGATTTTGTGTGTATTTGGTTCAATTTTTTACTTTTTTTGTATGAAACTATGTGTCCTGTTTGCTTTTGGCTTGTATTTAGTAACTTTTATCCATATAGTTTGAATATAAAACGCTTTTTGTAACATGTTGTAGATATTTCATGATGAATAAAATATTTGTAGGGTTGATTAGCAATGTTTCTTTTCATTATTTTATTGTTGTAGTAGTTTTGAACAATGCCACACGCTAAAAAAATGTGAAAGAGTTGAATTTGACAAAAATTCAATTTTTCGGTATTTTTTACAAAAAAATCCCCAGTTTATCGGAATGCTTAGATTTTCATAAAATCATCTCTACATATTGACATAACCATCATGTGAAACTTTCATTGAATTCTGATGGCTAATTGTGAAAGGGTGGAGCCTCCTTAAAGAAGAATAAATTGAAAAATAGTCTATGTATTCATAATTTATTTTTATATGTGTACATGTACTCCCTTTTGTTGAAAAATGCACGTTCAGAATTAATATCTTTTTCAACAAGTATTCTTTCACGCAGTGAAGATAATTAAGATAACAGAGATTTCCTGAAAGGGTTTATAACAAATAACATTCACTCCATTTGTTCGTATTATGAGGTGGATGGATACAGTTATTCCTCACTAGTTATTTTCTCGTTATAAACTCGTTATTTACAGTGTATCTTATTTAGTGACGAATGTATATTTTTTCCTGAAATCACTTATCGGAAGTTTTCTTTCATATATAAGCTTTACAGATGTAATGATAGTTCGAGGAAAATGATTAAATTAGTCTTTCAAATACAAATTAAATACCACCAAACATTTGAAACTTAAAAACTTTGATACATGTTCTGTTTTTGTTAAAGCTGAGGTCTGTTCTATTGTAACAACGACGAGTTCCGCTGAATCTATTCAAAGTAGGTATCTTGATTATTTATTGATGCTATGATATATGTATTTATCATCGAGCGACATGGAAAATATGATAGATAGTCTGAATGTTAAGTTACAGATCCCCGTGCCACTTCCAAAATTGTAATAAAGTGTTGGAAACTTTTTTGTCGGACATGGCTTTAGCTTTGATAAATCAATTCTGAAAAAAACAGCCTTTTATGAGACAAAACCAAGACAAAAATAAAAAATAAAAAAAATAATCAATAGCAGTGTGTGAGGAGGAACTAATCACCGATAACCGATCGGGATTAGAACGCTTGACTTCCGGTTGTTTTACTAACAAATTGAGCTACTTGAAAGATGGTAGTGTCCTTGCCATACTGTGTTACAGTTATATCCAAACGGAAGTTAAAGGGAGATAACTGTATATACAAGAATCACAGTTCGGTATCTTTATGCTGAAATACGTTCAGTAATATTGTGCGTCATGTTTGGTCTTTTATTATACTTCGCTGGAAATTTATCGATACCAATATGACTTGTTCGAACTTGAATAGCTGATAAAATACCCAACTAAATTACAGGTGCATCGACCAGCTTTGAACTGACAGCTCAGCCACCCAACTGTGAAGAGGTTGCGTTTGCCCCTACTCCGGAATCACCATCTACTGGTCGTAGATGCCTTTGCAGAAATCGAGCAAATGTCTCTATCCCTATAACCGACGAGGAGGTGTTGGCACGAATTGAAACTCTCAAGGCAACACTAACGGTGGATAAGAAGACGACAAGCGCCAGCAAAAGGAAGCTGATATCTGCTACTGATGGCCGCACTTCATCGAAGATTATCGGAGCTGTAGGCATAGTGATGCTTTGCGTTCCCGTAGTCTTCATTGTGGCCATGGACTTGTCTCGATGTGTGTCATGGTGGTCTGGCTTACACAATTAGTGTCAATGATTGTATCCACATGGATAGCGGATCACGACTGTTTAAAGGTTCTCCAACAAGTGACGGTTAATCGTACACGAGTTAGTAAAGTTTCTAAATGTACCCGATTTCTATTCCCGAAAGGGGAAATAACTGTCAATTTGAATATTGACATCACAATGGAGATACCAGGACAAAGAACTGTTACGTGACGCCTTAATTGAAATATTGACCAAACCATAATTATTGTGAGTGACCACAATTTTTTATCAATTCTTCGCTTATTTATCCTATTAGTCGAGAGTGAGTACAATCTGCATGGTTATGGGAGAAAACAAGGATCAACCCCATACTGTTACTGCTTCCTATAAACATCAGATGCCGAATGGTTTTCAGTCTCAGCAGCAATTATAAATACTTGTTGCTGATACTTAATGTATGCGAATTAATTGAACGCAATGACAACCTGATTCATTTCAGCCGAATCCTCTTCAAACACGACATTGATCATCTTCATACTGGAAAGAATTATTGGACCACAATGGATACTAACGAACATTATAAAACAATATCGACCTTCATTTTACACAAGATAATAGCGTGTTTTCTTATGAGATCATCATGGTGAACATAAATCTTTGTTTAAATACAAAATAACAACTGCGCATGTATATTTTGCTATACGATCATTCAGTATGAAATCTGGACTTCTCGTTTGTTGACTGACAAAATGCGTTTAAAATGGACAATTAATTCCAAATATTAGGAAGAGCAAATTGTTTTAAGGACTTCCCACCCTTCGTTATACACCTGTTTTTCTTGTCGTATTTTCGTGTCGTCATTTCCGTATTGCGTATCGGGCATTCTATTACCGTAGTGTAAATTATAGTAACACCGGGTAAACAATAGTACACGTGCGTGACGATGATATGTCAACACCCGATATCGAGACTTACCTTGGAAATGTGTAATCACACGTACTTCTAAAATAAAGCTTATGATACAAAGACATTAATTAACTCACGGGAAGACACTGACATAAGATCAGACGACTTCCAGAAGGTCGTGTATGAGGCGCATGGAATGCAGACTGATGTGGTTTGTTTATCGACCTCGCCTGTACGAGCTCTTGTTCGCTACGACTTTTGTTGTCGAGTGAGTTACGCTCTGTCAGATAAATCGTTTCACAAATGCAATAACTCTGTGAAAATAGTCGTTTGTAAAATATCAAGATCCCTAAAAAATGCAAGTGCACGTGATAACGGCATACCATGCGATAGCCTATGTATACCATGCGGAAGCAGCCTATGGAATGATGTCCAAAGTGCACATGACTGAGATAAATTTTGTTCCATAAAAGAACAGTACATTGACAATTTGATATAGTAATTTAATGTATTTCTGTCGTTTTTGGTATAGTAAAGACAATAGCTGTCATTTTATAAAATAATGTCCCTCTGCAAAAAGTTCCGATTTTTTTCAAGGTAGACAACTCTCATCGGGATCAAAATTATTGTAAAATGTTAAATAAATGAAATATAAAGACTTTGGTTCAATTTTTTACTCTTTTTGTATAAAACTATGTGTCCTGTTTGCTTTTAGCATGTATATACATGTAGTAACTTTTATCCATACAATTTCAATAAAAAACACTTTGTGTAACATGTTGTAGATATTTTATGATAAATAAAATATTTGTTGGGTTGATTAGCAATGCTTCTTTTCATTATTTTATTGTTGAAATAGTTTTGAAAAATGCCACACACTCAAAAAATGTGAAAGTGTTAACTTTGATAAAAAAAATATATTTTCGTTTTTTTTACAAAAAAATCCCGAGTTTATTGGAATGCTTAGATTTTCATAAAATCATCTCTACATAGTGACATGACCATTATGTGAAACTTTCATTGATTTCTGCTGGCTAATTACGAAAGGGTGGGGCCATCTTAAGTTGATGTCATAAATACCATCTTCTATAACTGGTAGCTCAAAGTCTTCAACTTCGTTTTCGTCCGTGTTAAGATTTTTAAAGTAGTTGAATAGTTCCTTCAATGGCTTCTTCAAAGTATTATTTTTGTTTTTCCCATCAATTTTTTTTTAAATAATCCAGATTTTTTTAGTATCAATTCTAGCAGTATTTCTTATTTTCCCTTCTAATAATTCCTGGTATTTATGGTATTTATGGTAACACGTTTTCATCGTTTTTCTATATTCTTTACCTTTTTTGTTCATTCGTTTTTTGTTTAAGTTGGTTTTAACCATCTTACAGTTATGCTTCGCGTTGTTTAACTCTCACCTTTTCCGCGCGTATTCTTTTGAAAACCTTGTCGTATTTTCATCAATGTACTTCATGTTAACCTGGTTTTTCGTAACAAACGCAGATTTGAATGTATGCCCAAATATGTTCTCAATTTCGCTTACAACTTCATCTCACTTCCCTTCATCAGTTATATATGTTATCTAGGTTTAGCTGTGACCTACGTAGTTGATCTTTATCATTTTCTTGAATGAACTTTACAAAAGTTTCCCAGTTTCATATTAGATTTCCTTTTCACACCCTGTTCCTGCATATTACCATACTTCCTTGTCTGTTTTAGATTGTTTGGTGTGTTAAAGCCTTATAGCCACATTCAAATTCAAAACGGCAGCGTACATCAGTATTGAATAAGTCCGCAGATAGAATCAGATAGTCAATTAAACTAGTATCACGACCGGTTGTTGCTTCTAGATGTCATGTAGGCAGCTATGATAACACAAGCTTGCTATAGGGTCCGTCTCTTAGTTTTAGGACAACTATATCCTCTTTTCTCCATCCGGGTGCTTGGTCGCTCTCAAGTAAAATACTAACAGTGTAATATTTATATATACATTTTGTATAATACACTGTAAATCATGTTGACATTTGACACCAATCGGAATTCAAAGTTGGCCTTTCAGCTTCAACACAAATGAATGAATACTAGATAAAGATTCGCAAAACTGAGCAAAAAGATGAGAAAAATGGGACTAAACTTATCCCGGTCTCTCTATATAGAATTATTTTTTGCTTCTTGATAAAAAAAAAAGTATTTTGGGGGGTTTTGCAAGAAGGGCCCAACAGACATGTTATATTTTAGATAACAAATATTCAACACATTAATTGATTTTAAGCTAAAATCCATGAGACGTCTCTCGTCAAAAAAATATTAATACAAGAAATATTGCATTGCAATGTTTCAACAGGAATACGTCAGAGCGTCAGTGATGTTTAAATTGACAGGTTTAACTTTTATTCATAATTGAGCAAATATTTAGTTATGGGATTATTACTATCACATGACCAACGACTTTTAAATGCAACCAAATAAATCGAACAGTGTAAGTTTGAAATGTTTAGCATTTACCAAATTAAATTAATTTGCCCCATTCTCCATATCTATTTCACAATTGATGTTGTGCTACCTAAATTTAAATATGTATACGAGTTACTGCCCCTTGTCAATGTTTACCTTACTTTGACCTGGGTGACCCTGTCTGAAGGCCCAACTCCCTCAGACTGATCCCATCTGTTTTATTGAGGAAATAAAAACAATTTGTACACGTTCATACTGTAATAACGCTGACCTACAATTGTTGATAAAAGTCGAAACCAACAACTAAACACAAATAAGTATTAAACTAACTCTACCAAGGCCAAATTTACTGATAGTGAAACAGGAAGTCCCCCTATGGAGCCCTGCACGATATAAAATGCGGTACGGCTATATACTATCTGAAATATTACTCGGACGGTCCGAAGTCCACAGTGTGAAGGGTAGAGACTGAAGCTACAAAAATGGTGGACTACGTGGAACTCACAAAGGAGACGCTTGTCATGCTGTTTTCTCTGGTGTTCTACTGGCTGAAGGCAATAGTGCAAGCAATTTTGCCAACCAGACTGCAGGCTAAGGACATCTCTGGCGAGACAGTACTGGTGACGGGAGCAGGTACGACCCAAACAACAATTACCCAACTTTTATATCAACAAGTAAAAAAATAACGGTACAGGTGGTGTTACATTATACCCCAAGTCAGACTCTAACTCTCTGTATTGTTTAAGAAGGGGGCGTGTCTTTTCAAACTGGTCATGAACTTTTTTGCATGTTTTATAATAAGCAGCATATATATTTAAACCCAGCATACAATATACATATGTAACGACTCAAATATCAGGTATATATTGTTTTGTTATCTGTGTATACCACGTGCACCTGCATAAGGTATTGATTTCACTTGTGCTACCTGTGTAACACCTGTAGTAAGTATTGATTTCACTTATGTAACACCTGTGTCGGTATTGTGCTGTTACTGTACATGCACAGGTACTAGCCTCGTCTGTCAATACACCTTGACAGACAGATGTACATGTGTAACACCTATGGTTGGTATTTATAGATACCTGTGTCAGGTATTGTACATGTGTTGATACCTGTGTAACACCTGTGGCAGGTATTAAGATACATGTACCTATGTTATACATGAGTCTGATCATGATATTGTGCTGTTACCTGTGTAACACCTGTGTGTTTAGATACCAGTGTTCCACTTGTAACACCTATATAAAAAATTAAAAGGTGTTATACAGGTATCTAAACTCCCTACACGTTTAGATACATAAGTCTAGATACCTGTATAACACCTTTTTATTTTTTCATTTTTTCTATCTCAACAACTTTGACTTACAATGGCCATGTATACACACATATATATATATTTAGTACGTACATCACATGATAATTACTAGGATAGCTATTGGATAACTACCCTTGCTCTATTTGGTATAGTTAGCATCCGCCCTTGACGACGGGAACTATACCTGGAGACGGGCACTATACCTTTTTTTTTGACCGCTGAGACTGCGGGAAAAGTAGCGTGACGCCAAGAGTTGCGCTCCTTCTCCTAGGGGGCGCTGTACATATTCTACTTTCAGTTCATTGTTGTCGTCTGCCAAAATGGCTTCGAGATTCGGGACCGGGAATGCCGATTGCTTTGCAGAGGCTCAGCAATGTATGAAAACGAAGCAGGCGACACAATTTGCAGTCACAGTTAGTACAGTCATGTGATGTACTAAATCTATTATGACCCTTTCCCTCGGGAACAGTTCTCTTATAGTGTTGTCTGGGGAGGTATAGTGCCCTCGCCTAACGGCTCAGGCACTATACCTCCCCAGACAACACTATAAGAGAACAGTTCCCTCGGGAAAGGGCCATAATAGAATAATATATATGTCATATACATGGATTTCATGTACAGTATTTTAAGCATGCATTTAGACACCTAGCCTGTGTAACATCTATGTAAAGTGTTGTGTTGTTACTATGTAACATCTGTGTAAAGTGTTCAGATACCTGTGTAACACCTGTGTAAGGTGTTTAGATACCTGTGTAACACCTGTGTAAGGTGTTTAGTTGTTACTATGTAACATCTGTGTAAAGTGTTCAGATACCTGTGTAACACCTGTTTAAGGTGTTAAGATACCTGTGTAACATTGATATCTGTGTAAAGTGTTCAGATACCTGTGTAACACCTGTGTAAGGTGTTTAGATACCTGTGTAACATCTGTGTAAAGTGTTCAGATACCTGTGTAACACCTGTGTAAGGTGTTTAGATACCTGTGTAACATTGATATCTGTGTAAAGTGTTCAGATACCTGTGTAACACCTGTGTAAGGTGTTAAGATACCTGTGTAACATCTGTGTAAAGTGTTCAGATACCTGTGTAACACCTGTGTAAGGTGTTTAGATACCTGTGTAACATCTGTGTAAAGTGTTCAGATACCTGTGTAACACCTGTGTAAGGTGTTAAGATACCTGTGTAACATCTGTGTAAAGTGTTCAGATACCTGTGTAACACCTGTGTAAGGTGTTTAGATACCTGTGTAACATCTGTGTAAGGTGTTTAGATACCTGTGTAACACCTGTGTAAGGTGTTTAGATACCTGTGTAACACCTGTGTAAGGTGTTTAGATACCTGTGTAACACCTGTGTAAGGTGTTTAGATACCTGTGTAACACCTGTGTAAGGTGTTTAGATACCTGTGTAACACCTGTGTAAGGTGTTTAGATACCTGTGTAACACCTGTGTAAGGTGTTTAGATACCTGTGTAACACCTGTGTAAGGTGTTAAGATACCTCTGTAACCCTTGTGTAAGGTGTTTAGATACATGTGTAACACCTTTGTAAGGTGTTAAGATACCTGTGTAACATTGATATCTGTGTAAAGTGTTCAGATACCTGTGTAACACCTGTGTAAGGTGTTTAGATACCTGTGTAACATCTGTGTAAAGTGTTCAGATACCTGTGTAACACCTGTGTAAGGTGTTTAGATACCTGTGTAACATCTGTGTAAAGTGTTCAGATACCTGTGTAACACCTGTGTAAGGTGTTTAGATACCTGTGTAACATCTGTGTAAAGTGTTCAGATACCTGTGTAACACCTGTGTAAGGTGTTTAGATACCTGTGTAACATTGATATCTGTGTAAAGTGTTCAGATACCTGTGTAACACCTGTGTAAGGTGTTAAGATACCTGTGTAACATCGGTGTAAGGTGTTTAGATACCTGTGTAACATCTGTGTAAAGTGTTCAGATACCTGTGTAACACCTGTGTAAAGTGTTCAGATACCTGTGTAACACCTGTGTAAAGTGTTCAGATACCTGTGTAACACCTGTGTAAAGTGTTCAGATACCTGTGTAACACCTGTGTAAGGGGTTTAGATACCTGTGTAACACCTGTGTAAAGTGTTCAGATACCTGTGTAACACCTGTGTAAGGTGTTTAGATACCTGTGTAACATCTGTGTAAAGTGTCCAGATACCTGTGTAACATCTGTGTAAGGTGTTTAGATACCTGTGTAACACCTGTGTAAGGTGTTAAGATACCTGTGTAACCCTTGTGTAAGGTGTTAAGATACCTGTGTAACATCTGTGCAAAGTGTTAAGATACCTGTGTAACACCTGTGTAAGGCGTTTAGATACCTGTATAACACCTAATCAAATGAACCAATTTAATGGGGGGGGGGGGTATCTATTGAAACATAATGAGTTCAGAATCAGTCCATTTTTCATGTGTGGCTGTAAATAAATGTGGAATCGCAATTTGAAATGGCATTGAAAAATTCACAACATTCTAATTTGGGCTTGGTAAGTCCATATATATTCTGTCCTTACCCTGGGCTGGTATACCTGTGTATTGTAACACCCTTGTGTCAGACAGCAGATACACAGGTGAAACCAAGCTGTATCAGTATCACACACGCTGTCCTCTTGTTATGTGGTGTGTACCGTGTGTACCGTGTGTACCGTGTGTATCTATGTTATAACTGATACATGTAAGTCAATTGCAACTGAGTTAAGGTAATAAAGAACTTGAATTTCCTTATCCATATCTGTACAATTTATCTCAAGTGGTTTGTGTCAAGAGCCTGTGTATATTTAATACATGATTTGCTGTAGCACTAGAGGAGCGAATCGGGAAAGTACTTAAAGGTGTCAAATGCCCTGGGAAACATATTTGATATAAATCCTAACATAATATTTTATTGAGCCCCATTCCCAGTGAGAAATATTTTTTTCAAAATTTTCCAAATAAAAAAAANCGCTGATGACACGTCACCATTCACTACAGTTGGCCACAAAAGCAGGTTTATCTGTAGGGCATCAATTTTGAAACTACATCTCTACTGAAATTTAGTGGTGGATTTCAGTGTTATATATATGATTCATAGATGATGAAGATAAGATTTTGTGGAATAGACAACATAGTTTTGTAAAATCATTCTTAGGTGATGAGTATCAGCTATAGAACTTATACTCAACAACAAGCTGACGGTCTTAGGGACGTGAGGGCTGCACATAGAGCAAAAGCCAAAATGTTCACATAACATCTCTGAAAGTGTCCGTCAGATTTTGATGAAACTTGGATGTAGTAAATTATCAGCCTACAGGGAGTCACATATTGCAAAAAAATATATATGATACACTGTAAATCATGTTGAAATTTGACCCCAATCGGAATTCAAAGTTGGCCTTTCAGCTTCAACACAAATGAATGAATACTAGATAAAGATTCGCAAAACTGAGCAAAAAGATGAAAAAAATGGGACTAAACTTATCCCNTTGTTTTGCAAGATGGGCCCAACGGACATACTATATTTTCGATAACAAATATTCAACACATTAATTGATTTTAAGCTAAAATCCAAGAGACGCCTCTCGTCAGAAAAATATTTATACAAGAAATATTGCATTGCAATGACTCAACACTGAGGGATACGTCAGAGCGTTAGTGCAGGTTTAACTTTTATTCATAATTGAGCAAATATTTAGTTATGGGATTATTACTATCACATGACCAACGACTTTTAAATGCAACCAAATAAATCAAACAGTTTAAGTTTGAAATGGTTAGCATTTACCAAATTAAATTAATTTGCCCCATTCTCCATATCTATTTCCCAATTGATGTTGGTAAGTCCATATATATTCTGTCCTTACCCTGGGCTGGTATACCTGTGTATTGTAACACCCTTGTGTCAGACAGCAGATACACAGGTAAACCAAGCTGTATCACACGCTGTCATCTTGTTATGTGGTGTGTACGTATACCGTGTGTATCATGTTGTATGTTGTCTTTCTGTATATATGTTATAACTGATACATGTAAGTCAATTGCAACTGACTTAAAGTAATAAAGAACTTGAATTTCCTTATCCATATCTGTACAATTTATCTCAAGTGGTTTGTGTCAAGAGTCTGTGTATATTTAATACATGATTTGGTGTAGCACTAGAGGAGCCAATCGGGAAAGTACTTAAAGGTGTCAAATGCCCTGGGAAACATATTTGATATAAATCCTAACATAATATTTTATTGAGCCCCATTCCCAGTGAGAAATATTTTTTTCAAAATTTTCCAAATAAAAAAAAAAAAAATGAATTTTTCGCTAAGACTTCTGTTAATCAAAGGGATTGTCCCCCTAAGACTTCTGTTAATCAAAGGGATCGTCCCCCTAAGACTTCTGTTAATCAAAGGGATCGTCCCCCTAAGACTTCTGTTAATTAAAGGGATCGTCCCCCTGAGATTCATAGAAGGAAACAACTTCTGGACAACATTATTCACTTGGTGATGTCTGTAGGATGTTTTAGACAAGTCCTGGACATCTTTTTAAATTTTGAAGAGTCCTGTTAGTAAGAGGTATAGTACGTGGCTGGCATGGGTCCAAAATAATTGACGAGTCCCACATGATATCTGGAGTCCCAAACATTTCTGATTTCTTGAGAATTTAATTTGATCAAACTTCCATGAAATCATTCTTAAATAAAGAGGCTCATTGTAAGACTAGAGAGGCTAGTACAGGATAAGGCTTGGGGGCAGAGCCAAACATTAACGTTATGTAAAACTGTTCTGCTGTCATTGGCTCTAGAGGCAGGGCTAGTTCACCAAGCTACGACCAGTTATAATTGGGTCAATGTACACACAGTCATGCATTACACCTCGTCCTGGGACTATCCATGTCTGGCCTATACAATTTGATGGTCATTTAATTACCTTTAGCAATTCAATGTTTGGTGACCATGAAAACCAGGTGAAATTTTATGATGGGTATCAGTTTGAGTGGCCTTTTGCTACAATGGACAGTTGACCACTTATTTTAGTGGTATTGATATAGTAATTTCTGTTGGAAGGTGGGTGGGGGGGGGGGGAAAGGGACCGCTGATGACATGTCACCATTCACTACAGTTGGCCACACATGCAGGTTTATCTGTAGGGCATCAATTTTTTTGAGACTACATCTCTATTGAAATTTAGTGGTGGATTTCAGTGTTATATGATTCATAGATGATGAAGATAAGATTTTGTGGAATAGACAACACCTTTGTAAAATCATTCTTAGGTGATGAGTATCAGCTATAGAACTTATACTCAACAACAAGCTGACGGTCTTAGGGACGTGAGGGCTGCACATAGAGCAAAAGCCAAAATGTTCACATAACATCTCTGAAAGTGTTCGTCAGATTTTGATGAAACTTGGATGTAGTAAATTATCAGCCTATAGGGAGTCACATATTGCAAAAAAGATATTGCAGCGTCACCTATGAATTTTCACATGGATTTTGACCAATATTTTAATATAATCCAAAGGGCATGACATAATTAAATATTACCCGAAGGAGTACTGTATAAAGGAAACAGCATATAAACAAAATCGCATGTTAGCTGCAAAATTAAGACCTGGCGAAAGTTGATTTTATTGGCAAAGGGCGCAAGTTTGACTGGGCGATAATTTCCATGTATACATTCATTACAGTGACAAGAAACATAAACATGTATATTATATATAAACTTTATTTATTTTACAACAATTATGAAACAAGTTATTTCAACTTGTATTAATCACTCTTGTTGGCCCGGATGTTAGCGCGTGGGGGCCTTAGTGTGGGAGGAAAACCGGAGTACCCGGAGAAAACCCACGTGGTCGGGCAGGTGACCCCAACCTTTTCACAGCCAATCGGGGAATCGAACCCCGGCCGCCTTAGTGAAAGGCAAGTGCGCTTTCATTCTACTGCAATACCCGACCACCCATGAACATGTATATTATAATACGTACTGTACATAAACCAACTGTCTAAATCTGACATCCTTTATAAATTCTATATCTTTGTTCTTTTAACAGGAAGTGGTATCGGCAGATTGATGTCCGTGCGATTTGCAGAGTTAGGATGTCGTATGGTTTTATGGGATATTGATGCAAAGGGGAATGAGGAAACAGCTCGCCAGTGTAAGGGTGTCGGGGCGTCAGCTAGAACGTACACTGTGGACCTCTGTAAGCGGGACGACATCTACAGAGTGGCAGGCCAGGTTTGTCTTAATTACCTATGTATTTATACTGTAAGGTTTGTGATAAATCAAACTGTCATTATCGAACAATAATAATATAGACTGTATATTGAGAAATTTAATGCTGTTTATTTTCGTCTTTTTTTGCCCTCCGCAATGAAGGCAAATTTATTATTACAGCAAACAGTAGTCAGCGATGAAATAAACAAATATAAACATGATAATCAAATGTGAAAGGCGCAATAAATATTGGGCCAAAACTGATTTTATTGGCGTAGGGCGAAAATTTAACTGGGTGTTTCCAGGAATACAGTTCACATACTGGCTTACTTTTTGAAATTTCCATTAAGGATATTCTGCATGTTCAAAATTAAAACATAAATAAAATGTGTGTATATACCCCCTATAGAGCCAAAACAACCCTTTAAAATGACATATTTTGAGTTTTCCTTCAGGTGAAATCATCAGATCTTGGAATATAGGAATAGTTTAGCAAATTCACCAGGTGACAATTCAAAATTTAACCCTTTCACCCCTATGTAACTTAAGTGAACTCTACCATGCATTAATCTAGATGTGACCATAATGGTCTACAGTACGTGGTGAAAGGGTTAAGGGTCCAAAATTGGGAGTCTCCCTCCTAAATATGGAGAGTTGGCAAGTATGCAGTACATCAGTACCAATGTTATATACAGTTACATAAAATGGATGCAATACAGAGTTACATCATGTACAGTTTATAAACAGTTCTTGCATTGATCACAACGCACCTTTAATTATCTAAAGAATCAATGAAATCAGTTATGGATATTAAGTCTTAAAATGACAACTTCCGTACAAATTACAAAACAAGACATACATGTAATCAAGACACAAATATCTTGAAAAAAAATATTTCATATATATATATAAATCAGAAAAATATCCAAAGCCCTTGTGATGGTTAAATATAAAAAACAAATGACAGGAGTTTCTTAGTACCTCCCTAGCGCTTTCACCTCTTTAGAGGTCCATCAAGGGAACAGTTTATATATGTTGACAGGACGACAACAATTTTGTGTGGTTGTCCTGTCAATATAAATAACCGGTATATATAGAGAATCTGTCATCAGTTTCCCTTCATATTAGATTCATGATACAGGTTCTGGATTTTTCATGTTTACGAGCCTCTAGCGAGCAAATATGAAAAATCCAAAAGGAGTATCATAAATCTAATATGAAGGGAAAAGAATGTCAGATTCTTTTCATCATATAAAACAAAGTAAACTGTATAATTTTGGTCTGAAACGAATATACTGCACTTGAGCGCCTCTGAAACGATGAAAATTGCGTCTGCTTCACAATGACATGACATCACATTGATTGTTCCTATTCGATTGTGACGTCATTTCTGGAATGATATTACACACGTTACATAAACATACTTTATTTGATGGCTTTATTACACTGCATAACACAGTATTCATACGATAAATGCAAATATGTTGTGATACAAACTTAATAGTATCTCAGTTATTTATGGGTTAACATCCGTTATCCTGATACTTACATGGGTTTCAACCAACTTAATGTATCTTGATATACTGCATTGTTACAACCATCTTTTGGCGCGGTTATCATTTCAGGTGAAGCAGGATATTGGTGATGTTGATATCCTAGTGAACAATGCAGGGATTGTCACTGGTAGAAAGTTCCTCAAAATATCGGACGACATGATCCAGAAAACGTTTGAGGTCAACACACTAGCTCATTTTTGGGTAAGTGCTAACATTTACTGAATTGTTTTAATTGTGCAATAAAAGTGTTACTGTTTTAAGAACAGGGTTATGAAAAACATTCACAATCGAAAGTTTTAAGCTATTTTAATGTAGGGAACTTTACTTTGCTGAAGGTAAATTCATGTTACTAGAAAACCACTTACAGAAAGTAAGGATGGTTGGGAGAGGATGCAGATAGTGCACTCGACTTTCACATGGACGGCTGGTGTTTGATGCCCCTATTGACATGAAAAGGTATTTGGTCACCTGCCCGACCATTTTGATTCACTGTGGATACTCCATCTGCTGATCACTTTCATCCGGGCCAACAAGAGTGATGAAAATAACTTGAAAAACTTGTTTCATAATTGTTGTAAAATAAAGAAGTTTTGTATAAACATGTATAAACTTTCTTTATTTTACATTAGTTATGATAATTCTATGTTTACTTATCACTCTTAAGCTTCTTAGCCCTTATGTTAGCAGGCAGGGGGTCTAATGTGGAAAGAAACTGAAGTACCCAGAAAAACACCTTTTTACGCTCGATCAGGGAATCGAACCCCGGCCGACTTGGTGAAAGGCAAGTCATTGCACCACCCAACCACCCAACCACCCAATAAAGTATATACAATAACTTGACTTTATCAAAGAATATGACCAGGAATTAAAAGGTTCTGCATTTAATTCCTGGTCATATCATTCATAAATGATGAAAAAGTGGACATGTCATCTCTCCCTTCTTCAGCGAAGTAAACTCTGACTGCGTATAAATTAGCATATACGCAATGAAAAAAGGCTTTGCGGATTTATATCTGTTTCAAATATGGCGCCGTTCATGCTTCAGCGCGATAACTATTCGATGACAGCCATTGTTTGGTCCCTTCAACATCTAGATACACTGACTAAATTCATATTCCATGGTTGCACATTCAAAATTCAATATGGAGTGTAATATATATATATAAATGTACATGCCAAACATGTTTCAAACTAAAAAAATAAATAAATTCAGATGTGCAAAGCATTTCTACCTGTGATGATGGATCGTAACCATGGACACATTGTGAACGTAGCCAGTTCTGCGGGTCTGCTGGGAGTGAATGGTCTCTGTGACTACTGTGCCAGTAAATTTGGAGCCGTCGGCTTCGACGAGTCTCTCAGGTTTGAATTGGAAATGCTGGGAAAAGATGGCGTCCACACCACAGTTGTCTGCCCTTTCTATATTTCCACGGGCATGTTTGAAGGCTGTAAGACAAGGTAACTGGAGTCTTTATATTCTTTCAATTTTTCAAACCTTTATCAATAATTTGCAGACTGAATTGATAAATTGTAGCAATTTATAATATTTCATAGTTAAATTAATACAGTAAAAGCAGAAATCTTTGCAGTGTGGAAATTATCACAGACTTCTTGTTCAGTGAATTAAAATGGTACAAAAATATCCACACATATACATATTTACAGATAATGTAGATTGTAATTATACCTTGTATTTTTTTGTTTTTGTTTTTTCAATATTTCATAATGTCTCTACCAATATATCAATTATTATTGTGTGTTATTTTGTAGAGTTTGACTATACATTGTGATCTCAAGATATATTTAATTACTGATTAAGAGAAATAGAAGTATCAAAACTGTTTGCTGTTTTTCTAGAGTTCCGTGGTTGCTGCCAATCCTCAAACCCGGAGAAGCTTCCAACAGGATTGTAGACGCTGTCCTCTGTAACCAGAAAGTAATCATACTGCCGCGCGCCCTCTACTTCTTTATGGCACTGAAAGGGTAATGTACAGTACCAATTCATGTAATATTTATAGCTTGTTTATATATAGTGTGGTGTATAGTTGGAAACTGATAAGTAATAGAAGGGTCAAAAATGAATCTGATAGTCAAAGAAAGACACTCTCGACTGATGATGGACATACAAAACAGTAAATGTTACTGTAAATGTGAATTCGGTCCAAATTCACTCATCTTAAGTACTTCAAAATACTCCAAATATCTACTTATACTGACACATGTACATCCATACTTACCAACCCGAAGAAAATGTTTAGAAATAAACTGACACAGCTTGGCAAGCTATAGAAGTTAATAATAATTTGTTTATGCTCTAGAGCAGACTAAACGTCTGGTTATAGAAACTCTGGAAAGCTTCTGAACTGACCAAATCGCAAAATATACTTTCAGCTCTAGACTACAAATTTTCCCCATTTTACGTAACACATTTTTGTACCTGCCTTTGAAGTGATCTGCCTATTATGGGTGTGGAGTTTGTATAAGTCAAAAAAGACAAATCATCTAGAGTAATCGTCGTTTATTTATACTTAATAGTCTCCGATTGTTTTCTACAGGATCATTCCCACAAAAGTGCTGTCAATATTGTGTCGGTACTTTGGTGCCTCCAACTCAATGGACGACTTCAAAGGGCGCAGCGAGAAACGAGATTAGACAGCGGGGGTAAATAGGATTTTGTGGACATCATGTTACTTAAACCAAATACCATTTTTTTAACTATCATTTAGCACTGACTTTCACTGTTATAAGAAATGAATCTACTCTGAGAGTATAAACAGACCAAACTGTGTATCTGATCTTGTCAGTTGAATATTGTTTACCCCCTGTTGTTACATCATTATTTACATTAACTCATTCACCCCTGGAATTTCATTATCAACTATTCCAACCTTTGAACTGGAAGAGCTGGTACAGTAATAGTATGAAAATTATACTTTGTTGTCACTTTTGCTGATTTTACCAATCAAAACACTGATTACAAACTATCATGAGAAAAATAACCAATCAGAAAGCTTGACATTAAATAAGTTGCCCAAATGTTAAAAGCCTGGTTAGCTTAATTATACACAGGCCCCCCCAAGGCTGCTTGTGGCTGAATCTGTGATTTGTACTGTATATTGCATTGTGAATATTTTTTTTCACAGTTTGGATCGTTTAGTGAAATCCAGATAATCTAGAGGTAAATATATTTAAAGATTATTATGGAACTGTTTTTCCAGATTTGACTATGGTCCTAGAGTATTGCACCTTATATAACTCAGTAATATTATTGGTAGCCTAGCTTTCTCTTCATGCAGTATCAATGACTCAGTAATATTATCGGTAGCCTAGCTTTCTCTTCATGCAGTATTAATAACTCAGTAATATTATCGGTAGCCTGGCTTTCTCTTCATGCAGTATTAATGAAACAGTAATATTATCGGTAGCCTAACTTTCTCTTCAAATCGGTAGCCTAGCTTTCTCTTCATGCAGTATTAATGACTCAGTAATATTATCGGTAGCCTAGCTTTCTCTTCATGCAATATTAATGACTCAGTAATATTATCGGTAGCCTAGCTTTCTCTTTATGCAGTATCAATGACTGGGTAATATTATCGGTAGCCTAGCTTTCTTTTCGTGCAGTATTAATGACTCAGTAATATTATCGGTAGCCTAGCTTTCTCTTCATGCAGTATTAATGACTCAGTAATATTTTCGGTAGCCTAGCTTTCTCTTCGTGCAGTATTAATGACTCAGTAATATTATAGGTAGCCTAGCTTTCTCTTCATGCAGTATTAATGACTCAGTAATATTATAGGTAGCCTAGCTTTCTCTTCATGCAGTATTAATGACTCAGTAATATTATCGGTAGCCTAGCTTTCTCTTCATGCAGTATTAATGAAATGAAAACATTACCTTTTTATTGTAAACATTTTTGTTTTATTGAAAGAAAAAAAATCTTAAAAAAAATCTTGCTTTTCTTGCTTTCCACAAAACTGCCTTTGACATCAGATTATCACATACCTGGTTCCTATCTCCTTCATCCTTCATCTCATTCCACTGATATCTAAATATGTATGCTTAGATTCCTGGATAGCTCTCCTTAATTTCGTCTATGAATCTCTGTTGCAGATGACAGAAATAAACTTTGAAGTGAAACCTGAACCAATACACCAAGTTCTGCAAATATCGGACACCATATTTTGATGATTAAGCCAGGAGTGGACCATATATATATCACCGAGGGCTGATATGGATAGGAGATTTAATACACGGGCAGTCTATATACATGTAGTCAGTTTAAATATGATTTATTACGTATGCAATTTATGTGATATTTAACAAAGTGTATGATAATACAATGTAATATACGTTGTGTGTGATTAATAATATACGTTGTGTGTGATTAATTTACTTTGTTATGTTGTCAGCATGTTCAGGGATACTAGATAAAAATATTATTGTATTTAAGTTGATTAGTGAATATTTTGTAATAATGACATGCTGCATCAATGATATCAAACTTAAATCAAAACCTTCGGGAAGTAGAGATGTAAATTTTGAAATCCTGAGGCCAATTTTTGATGCCAAAACCTTTAGGTTGGTATGTCTGTGCTATGTTGTCTGTGCTTGACCTTTAACCTGACACATTTCCCCTCCCCTCTGCTAAAAACCCAACGTAGTTATTGAATTATAACCAAATATGAATGTTATTTACCAAGTTTTGTTAGATATTTGCAGCTATTTCTGATTTGAAAAATGCATGATTAAAATATTTGAATACCATAAATGCATTGAAAGAGAGAACTTGCGATAAACCCCGTAAGAGTAGGTTTATTTACTTCAAAAATTAGCTTTGAGACCTTAGTTTGAAAAGAAAAACATGCAGGGGACAGTGTGGATACCTGTAACAGTTATTTCACCTGTAGGATTGACCAAACATTTGTTTTTGCTGGAACAATAAAAAGTCATTAGAAATGTATTATTATTAACTGTTAGGTATGACAAAAATTGATCTATTCTGTTTGACGTGTGTTTAGACTCTACATATTCAAGGACATTGTTTTATCTCGCTGCTCAAGGAAAAACTCATGGGAACAGTAATAAATACTCAAACAACATTGTCATTTAAATATAAGAAAACACTACTTTACTCAAATAATAATTGATATCTGGTACAGTCTCCCACAAGATGCTATTTCATCTTGTAACGTATTTGACTTTGAGAAAAACTTTTAACAAATTCTTGAAAGATCTTTCATTTGAAGTATGATCATACAGTGTCTTGTGTATAGGCTTATTTTATGTTTACCACAATGTATTTCCAACTGTATTGTTGTGGATATAGAGGCAGCAATGCCTGTGTTCACTAATATCATATTTAAAATATATTTGACTGCTGCAATACGTGGCTACATGGCAAATAGAGGGTATACATTTTGTGTCAACGTTATTATTAGGATGGGTATAAATGTTCACCTTTCTTTCAACCCTATGTTACTATAGTAGACTCTACCATGCATTGATCTGGATGAGTCCATTATGGTCTACAGTGGTGAAAGGGTTAAGAGGCGATATATTCCGTCTTTGCGTATTGCAGCGTTATCTTCTCTTGGGAGCAGGGATTGATTGTTATGTCATTGGTTTGTGCGAGAAAATTAAGTTGTTTTCTCAAAAGTCGATGACGGTACTCTCACAAACAAGTGACATAACAATCAATACCTGCTCCCAAGAGAAGATAACTCTGCAATACGCAAAGACGGAATAGCCATAAGTCTATCAGTTCTCTGCCAAGAAGTCTACCCAGAAATCTACTGTATGATACTTTTTCTGCGAAGTTTTTGTAATATGTTGAAATTATCAACTTGTTTAACTACTCAGGTATATTCATGATTATTCTTCATCAAACTATAATCAGGTAAACAGTATGAAAATGCTATGCTTCAAATTTGTTTTGTTACAAGTTGCAAAGGAAATTAAACAAAGAAGTCTGGCTTTGTTAATTTTTATAAAATGTACCAGCAGGAGTGTATTTGTTCTTGTAATCCTTAAGCAAGAAGCCCATGATACCATTCTTTTTAAAAAAGGAAACTTTCTTGAATGTCAATAAAAAAGATATATCATTCAAGTTCATATAAATGCATATATATTAAGTATATATATTTCAAAATGAGAGAATAATTTGTGTACAGATCATTGAAGATTTAGTTTTTCCTCTACAGTACGTGAACTCCGAGGTCATGTGACACTCAGCATGCATCTGCAGTGATAACCATTAGACAGTGAAAGAACAAGATATTTCATAACAAATGTTATCTGTTCTTATAATACCGTAAAAGTCATTAATTCTTTAATTTACAAAATGTTATCAGTACTGATGTTTAACACAGATTTTATCAGTTCGTATATGTATGAAAATGTTTTCGGTTGTAATATTTTCTATCGTTTGGAAATGTTATCATTTCTTAGATTTCTATAGATGTTATCAGTTCCATATTTCTAAAGATGTTATCAGTTCCATATTTCTAAAGATGTTATCAGTTCTAAGATTTTTGAAAATGTGATCAGTTTTAAGATTTCTGAAAATGTTAATCACTTCTACTATTTTCTAAGGATGTCATGAGTTCTTACACTTCTAAAGATGTCGTCAGTTTTTTTGTTTTTAAGAGGTTGTTTCTAAGTTCTAATAATTTTAAAAGGTGGTTTTAGTTCTAAGATTTTTTAGAGATGTTACAAATTCTTATATTTCTGATGATGTTAACACAGATGTCACAACATGTTTTTGTTCTAGTTAGATTTACTCCATTGTACCCTCGTTGCCATTACCACCGATGTCACTCTCTGTTACAGTGTACATGTACCCGTTAAAACATTTTTAATGTTATGTACGCTTGGCATGGGTGATGTTTATCAGTATTTTCAGAGACTTTTTTTCTCTGTATTTTTTAATTGGTGTTATCAATGAAATGTGGAAAATGTTGCCATTTTTGTTTGCAACTCTTAACTGCTTACAAGAAATTATAAACTGTATGTATCTAGCTTCAGTGCCAGTTCTTGTCAATTTGGTCGTTAAAAGACATTTTAGAACACTGCTAGGATTCATGTAGTTTAACCATTTGGTGGAATCATTCATTTGCCATTTTTCCTTCATTACTATATCATTAGAATAGCAGTACATTTGAAGGTCATGTCCAGAATCAGTGACCTTGATTGAGTCCACTGTCTGTCCGTTCAGAAATATTGTCTTTGTAAATCTGAGTCAAATCTGAGTAATGTCACACCCTTACAAACAACAGTAAATAACTTAGTTTTGGTCCGTCGAACTTTGAAACGTTTGCTTCGTATTGCTGAAGGTCAACAAAACTTTTAGATATTTTCATCAATTTTAAAATTAAGTCATAGGTATACAGACTTGACACAACATTAATCCCATAATACATATGGACTAATGGACTAAGTGGGATGGATGGAAAACAACTTAAAGTTAACCCCAAAATACGTAAGGTTAATTGGACTAAGTGGAATAGATAAAAAAAATAACTTAAAGTTAACCCAAAATACGTAAGGTTAAATGGACTAAGTGGAATATATAAAAAAATAACTTAAAGTTAACCCCATAATATGTATGGTTAAATGGACTAAGTGGAAAAGATAAAAAAAAAAAAACACTAAAAATTAACCCCATAATATGTATGGTCTAATGGACTAAATGGGATGGATAGGGAAATGACAGAATTAATGCATAAGCCGTAACGAACATGAGTAAAATAGATAGAGAAATAGCTTAACAATAACATAATAATAGGCAAGGCCAATCAGACTTCAAAAGTAACCTCATATCAATGAATACGTTAATGCATTTAAATGGAAACTAGAATACGGAATGCTCACTGCATGGAAAATAACCTAATGCTAATTTATCCTTAGACAAGACACTATATTTGAGGAACGGAAGTATATATAGGACACCGATAAAGATATCTTGAAATTTGAAGGCTTGCGGTAAGCTGTTTGATTGGTTTCAAGTAAAAACTTTACCAATCACTAGGCTGATACCTGTCCCTTTGAGGATTAGCAAGGAGCTGTACTCAACTTAAAAGCCTATCTGTTTCACCTTTATGCTTCCTTTGACCTTCACCTGAGACATCACTCTGGCCGAGACTTTTATCATTCACAAGGTGTCTCTTAAAAGGCCTTCAATTTTGTAATCAAATATCCCAAGGGTGTAGAGCAGACATGTATATCGAAAGCAGGACACTCGGATTTTGAAAATTATAGGACAAATATATTGACGTAGGTAACAATGTATTGAGAGATAAACGATACGTTTAGAGTTTTGTGGTACATGTACTTATGACATTGTTCATGATAAAGGCCAAATTATACTTATATCAGCATTATATCAAACACTAGAAAAAAAATATTTTGTATTCAAATTATTTACTTTTGCATATATCAAGTATTATAAAGGCAGAATGATTGTTCTTTCAATTTACATATTGAATATTCATTACAAATTAAGAAGTATTAAATCAAATGTTATTAAAAGTATGTGTTTTGTATGCATATTATATGAAATGTCTATTTTTAGCTCACCTGGCCCAAAGGACCTAGTGAGCTTATGGCATGGTGCGGCGTCCGGCGTCTGTCCGGCGTCAATGTTTTACTTTAAACAACTTCTTCTCAATAACCAAGAGGCCCAGGCTGATGATATTTGGCCAGTAGCATGCTGGAATGAAGGGCTACCAAGATGTTCAAATGAATGACCTTGACCCTTTTTCAAGGTCACAGGGGTCAAATGTCTTGAAATCTTCCAACAACTTCTTCTCAATAACCAAAAGGCACAGGGTACTGATATTCGGCCTGTAGCATGCTGGGACGAAGGGCTACCATGTTTGTTTAAATGAATGACCTTGACCCACTTCCAAGGTCACAGGGGTCAAATGTCTTAAAATCTTCCAACAACTTCTTCTCAATAACCAAAAGGCACAGGGTACTGATATTGGGCCTGTAGCATGCTGGGATGAAGGGCTACCAAGTTTGTTTCAAATGAATGACTTTGACCAACTTTCAACCTAATGTCCTTGTTCAACATTCAAGGTCACAGGTGTCATATATTTAAATCTTTTAATAGGTTCTTATGAATCAAACGCTGATATTCTGCCTGTAGCTGTTATTTAGTCCACTCTTAAGATTACAAGTGTGAGATTATACCAGGGGAGCGATGCAGGCCCATTGGGCCTCTTGTTTTTAATGTGTTGTGGTGCTGTTATTACGTATAAATATGCAATTTAATGGAATGAAAACCTATCATGATGTTTATCGATTGGTGAAACTATGTCAGGTTGTTTATTTGATTGGTGAAACCCATTCAGGGTGATTATTAGATTGTTGAAACCCTTTCAGGGTGTTTATTTGATCGGTAAAACAATTGGTTACATGTAGATTATGTAGATAACTTGCCAAATCTGTTAGAATTTTATACATAACAAATGAACAAAAAGGTTTGTATTATCATGGTTGGGTTGATATATTATGGTTAGTCAAACAGTTCTATTTTATTGTACCACAATTTGGCCCTGAAAATTTATAAATATGGAACGCTTAGCTACATTTTCCTGGTGATGTTTTTAAATTTTGGTGAAGAGTATCCTTTTTTCAGCAAGGTACTTTGAAATGCATAATTGTCACTTTGTTACCCCTAACCCACATCTGCTTTCTGTTTTACATTTGAGATGTGGATAGTTGTGTACCTGTATGCTGCCCAATGCCAATATTGTCAGCTAATATTAAGTAATGTGTGCATCGGGACCACACACTAGGTTTTAAATGATTATTTATTTAATTGTAAATTGTGACGTTTTCGAAGTAGCAGTGTTAAGTTTTCACATTCGTTGTTGTCATGGTATTTTGTTAATAAGTTAGATATGTTATGAGAATGGTTTTTTATAACCAGAATAAAAATAGAAGTAAATTTTGTTGCAAACAATTTGATGTTGTTTCTGCTTCATGGCAGCACAGTTTATGTTATAATGTATATTGATATAATTTATGTAATCATTAATTAATAAAAAAACCTCTTTGGTTCAACTGTTTTGTGACTATTGTTTCTCAGATGAAGTGAGGAGTGGATAGATTATGCCTGTCAGGTCCATAACTATGAAAGAATAAGTGGCTTGAAATCCGAAAGATATCAAAACACAAATCTGTATTTCTTGACTCCGATGTCCATATCATACTCCAGGATCTGCATGGGAAGTTGGTAGTTGTGTCTCTAATAATGTAATCCTTGTCTGAAAACACTTTAATCACTTAACCAAAAGAAACCCTTTACCTATACAATCAAAGAAACCCTTTACCTATACAATCAAAGAAACCCTTTCCCTATACAAACAAAGAAACCCTTTACCTATACAAAGAAACCATTTACCTATACAAACAAAGAAACCCTTTACCTATACCAACAAAGAAACCCTTTACCTATACCAACAAAGAAACCCTTTACCTATACCAACAAAGAAACCCTTTACCTGTACAAACAAAGAAACCCTTTACCTATACAAACAAAGAAACCATTTACCTATACAAACAAAGAAACCATTTACCTATACAAACAAAGAAACCATTTACCTATACAAACAAAGAAACCCTTTACCTATACGAAGAAACCCTTTACCTATACCAACAAAGAAACCCTTTACCTATACCAACAAAGAAACCCTTTACCTATACAAAGAAACCATTTACCTATACAAACAAAGAAACCCTTTACCTATACCAACAAAGAAACCCTTTACCTGTACAAACAAAGAAACCCTTTACCTATACAAACAAAGAAACCCTTCACCTATACAAAGAAACCCTTTACCTATACCAACAAAGAAACCCTTTACCTATACCAACAAAGAAACCCTTTACCTGTACAAACAAAGAAACCCTTTACCTATACAAACAAAGAAACCCTTTACCTATACCAACAAAGAAACCCTTTACCTGTACAAACAAAGAAACCCTTTACCTATACAAACAAAGAAACCATTTACCTATACAAACAAAGAAACCATTTACCTATACAAACAAAGAAACCCTTTAACTATACAAACAAAGAAACCCTTTACCTATACAAAGAAACCCCCTACCTATACAAAGAAACCCTTTACCTATACAAACAAAGAAACCATTTACCTATACAAACAAAGAAACCCTTTACCTATACGAAGAAACCCTTTACCTATACCAACAAAGAAACCCTTTACCTATACAAAGAAACCCCCTACCTATACAAAGAAACCCTTTACCTATACAAACAAAGAAACCATTTACCTATACAAACAAAGAAACCCTTTACCTATACAAATAAACCCTTTACCTATACCAACAAAGAAACCCTTTACCTATACAAACAAAGAAACCCTTTACCTATACAAACAATGTTCTATAGCTGAATCTGCTAGATACTAAACCAAGTCATATATAATTATCTGAACTTCTTGCTACCTCTCTTAGTACCCTTAAATCAGGGTTACACATATACTGTGACGGTATATGCCACTCTTTTAACCACCATATCCCATACCAAAACTAAAGGAGCATCTTTCTTCAGCTACTCCAAGGCCGAACGGCGATATAAACTTACGACAGGAATCCTAATTTTGAACAGATTGATGAAGCATGGACAGTTTTATGGCCGACATTTGGAAAGGTTCTAATTTTTTGTGTGATAAAAAAAGTAGATTTAAAAAACACAACTTTTGCTAATTGGTGTTTCTTGTTTTGTTGTCACTACCCTGGTTCTTGCGTTGAGGACGTGACATTACTGTAATTTCACCTGTTTATGCCTAGAGGTTGCATTGTCGTCGATGTAGCAGAAGGCGCTTGTGGATCATCCGGTTGTGTTATCTTTGTAGTTTTTAAAGGTCTTCAGTTCGGTATTCTCTTTGTTTTCTTATTAAAATTAAAAATTGCCATATCATTTTAGGGGGCTGTTGAAAATTTATTTTTGGGAAATATCAACAAACAACCTTCTTGAAATTCCATCTGGTCATTTATTTTAATGAATATAGGACAATTACAGTCGTGTTCATACACAACAACAGTTTTCAGTATAAATTGATATGTAAATATTAAAGCATCGATTATTTCAAATAATTGACATTTCTGATTTACATCTTGAAAGCTTACATAAAACAATCAAAGTTATCCAATTTAAACATAATGGAGGAGCCACGATAATAAAACCAACGCTGCCTCCTTAAAATAGTCCAACAACAATATATATAGTCAAGCCACATTCCTTCTCTGTAGCCTAGGTAACCCAGCCTGTTTGTTTTCAACAATTTAGTTACATTGAGAGCAGTCTGGAATACGGAAAAAATACCAATCTGTCCCTCAAAGATATGTGTAGATAGCTACTCAAAAGTACAATCCAGCAGCTGGATTAACGGGACTCGACATTGTTGCAGCATTTCCATACCCTCCCTTTTAGTGAATTCATATTCTCGAGGAATAATTGATACACTGCTCAACCACGAAAATGCCCATTCGTAAAGAACAACAGAGATTTACATGTTTTTTTATGTTTCTGCCATAGCGCACATATGCTTTACCACTCTCAACACCTGCAATGAGTAACAGACACACTGATTACCATTTTTTTTTTTAAACCAAGGCTGATATAAAGGCTGAAAGCGTTAAAGTTTGCTGAACAATTACCAAGTTTATACTACAGTAAAATGATAATGTTTTTCTGATTGTTTTTGTCTTGCCAAAAAAACTTAACACTGGCGCTACAATATCTTTTTACTTTACAAATCAACCTGATGTTATTTTAAAGTTTTCAAACTGGCCATTGAGTCCTGTTAAGAAAACTGAAGCATTTCACAGAAATTCTACAAAAAACATAGAATTCACAAATTACCCCTGAAACATTTGAGGTTTGTAAGTGAGCTAAGAAGAAGCATTGTGAGGGATTTTATAACATATGACAGAACTAGTAAGTATTGCATGATGTGTATGGTAGGACAGTGTAAGTAACGCAGGGCAATAAATATAAGATGGTAAAACAACTATCGCGTAGAAAAGTACATATGTATGAGTTTCTTTTAAATTAGCACGAGCATCGTCATGTCTTGTTTAATACACAAGCATCGTCATGTCTTGTTTAATACATAAGCATTCATGTTTTGTTTAATACACAAGCATTCATGTTTTGTTTAATACACAAGCATCGTCATGTCTTGTTTAATACATAAGCATTCATGTTTTGTTTTATACACAAGCATTCATGTTTTGTTTAATACACAAGCATCGTCATGTCTTGTTTAATACACAAGCATCGTCATGTCTTGTTTAATACACAAGCATTCATGTTTTGTTTAATACACAAGCATTCATGTTTTGTATGCAGTGCAACTGGTCTTGCAGGGTGATCTTAACACTCCAGCATATAATAAATTGAAAACATGCTTCTTTACGGTAAAATCCGAAGGTTCCGGAGGTCCAACCGTCAATCATCAGTGCAGTGTTCGTATAAGGTTTGTGTGTGTTTGGTTCTTTGACGTCTCGACGTCCTCAGTAAAAGATGGAACATATATAGACACTCTTAATGTTGGATAGAAGTAGGTTGTAACACAGGGACCTGAGAATTTGTTACAGCTATATTTGAACCTAAACTAAGGTGTTTACAGTAATGTTGCACGTTTGGGGGGTTTAGATCGATTTTCGGTAAAAATGCCACCCCTAATGATCATATTCTCAGGTCCCTGTAGGTTGTAATACACAAACGTAACCAAATGAATAGCACGACTGATAATTCGGCTGTTGATGGTGACAGAGTGCGCAGTGCATTCTTATAAACATTATATGTTTTCAATAGTATTCGGGGAAAATGGCGTTTGAACGGTTTCCAACTTGGAGCCTTCATGTTGCCTGCTTAAAATCCTTACATACTATTTCTTTGTTCCGTTAAAGTCACCTTCCATAATAAATTAGCACAATAAATCAACTTGTTCATTTGAATGCCTTTGGATATAATAAGATGGAGTTGCAACAAGAACAGATCACTACTCCTTGAAAAAACGATGTCATAAAATCATTGTATAAGCTATACCCGAGCAGCGATTTCAACGTTAGCACCTTATTGTTTACCAGTAAACTTGATTACACAAATCAGTCAATTATCAAGAGATGACTATGAGTGGAGGTGTCTGATTCCAAGTCTTACGTAAAGCCCTCGGTTTTCTCGAACACCGGTATAGGTTCCAGTATCGGAGCTACACGTGAGCCACCTTTAAATGTCATGTTTATCTGGCGTTTTACACTCTCTAGAGCGTTGAATCGTGCTGGCCACATCTTCATGGATTCCTGCAAAATAAAAGGAAAGCTTTATTTCGAGTTATATGCTAATTTATAATTTTTATGGAGAAAAATATTAGAAAATGAAACAAAGGAAAGTTTTGTCCAAGAATTAATACAATGTACATGTACGTTATCACGCTCAAAGACACTGAATTTAAATACTAGTATATATTTTGAATTTAACTGTGGCTAGTAATTAGTGCCTTTAAAAATACTATATGATGCAATATTCACATGATCTGAATTAAATAATAACAGAAGGTAAACTATCCTTTTAATAAACAATGTTATAAATAATGACAGCGGAAAATGTTGGCGATTGCTTAACGATTGAACTGAAGAAAAGATAACAAGTGTTTAACGGCTGAACAATGAAAGAGTAACAATTGTGAAATGTTACCGAAGTGACGATTATATCCCCGTAATGCAGCTATTAGGTGCCATACGACAGACTCAACATCACTAGACCTCATGATGCAATTTGATGATAAAGTCTAGTATGAACAAGTTTAATGGTCGCCATCAGGATCTCGCAGGGAAATAAGCTTTATCTTTGTGTGATATGCAAGTCGGTATTTATGAATATGCTCATAAGAGTGCCGTTTGTTTTTGTTGTCACTACCCGAATTCTCGATGTGAGGACGTGACATAACTTAGATTTGACTTAGATTTATATGGCGGGTGTTGTCGATGAAGCAGAAAACGTTAACCCTTCCGGAACACCTGGTCTCGTCATTCTTACTCCACATCTTTCATTTGTTCATATTTTTCAATGGTTTTGTTCATTTGAGTTCTAATTATAGTTGTGTTGACACTTTGACATTCTCTAAATGTTTGTGTTAACATATAGTGTATTATGTAAGGGAGGTATTAGTGAACGTATGATTAACTTTATAACTCTAAATGTCTGTGTTAACATATAGTATATTATGTAATGGAGGTATTAGTGAACGTATGATTAACTTTGTAACTTCCCTTGAATTATGAACATATGATAAGTCGCCAAGACTTACAGAAGTTCCGGGTCTTTTATCGGGTGACGGTGCCGGACTCGGGGTCACAACAACCTTTGGAACACTCTTGGGAACCCTCTTTGGCCGCTCTAGGTTGGGGTTATAATCTGGGTTATACTCGTACACGTGGTTGTAATTGTGTGACTGGTAGGGTTTGGTGCCCTTGTATCCGGTCGTCGTGGGTTTGTATTCCTTCATCTTATATTCAGTGTTTTTAGGCACATACGCCTTGGGTTTGTAACCTCCAGTCGTTGTACTTTTGTATGGCTTTACCTTGTACAATCCGGATTTTGAATCAAAACTAGATTTATTAAAATCCGTGATCTTCGTTCCTGCAATTAGAAAAGAAAAGGTTATTATACTTAAATATAAAATATTCAATATTTACAGAATTCTTCCCCTAATTCTGAATTTTAACGAGCACATAACAGAATATAACATATGGATGATGCATAGAAATGGCCTTTTGGCTGTACTTTTCTAGCTACAAATTAAACTAGCTAATCACGATGGTTAATAACCCGATATTCGTTTGTTTTCGCGATCATGGCCATTTTATTTCCCTCGGGTTTTCAATTGCAAAACGAGCAAAATTAAAAGCTGGTTGTGTTTTACCTAATAGATTACTTTAACGTGACACGAATACGTAAGAATAAGAGCTATCTTCTGGACCATATTTATATATTAGAGTTAGCTACCGTTGCACTTTTAATTAGCAGTATTTAATGGTTCAGACTTACCTGAATGTTATAAAGGTATATTTAGTGTAGTGTCCTTATCACCAGTGACGTCATTTACAAACGTCCTATTACACAATTTATTTCAGTTTCGTTTCGTTTTTTTGTGAAACTCTTTTGGAATGAAATAATCATGTAGTGTGCATCCTTAACAAAGTTTGTTTTAAATCGCCTGACATCACCACACATTCCGTTGTTTACATGTTACTTATGTAAACAGTTACCAGCTACGTGACATACCGTTTGATAGTACCTCTATAATTAGCACGCGGTAGCAATTAACTAACGCAATGACATAACAGTATCTGACTTCGAGATTTAAAAAATAATTACTCATATGATACATGTTTGTCTTACTATGAAACATTAACTCATTCACCCCTGAAGACACATTGTAACTCTTCCAATTCAAATATTGGAAGAGTTCATTATGGAATTTCGGGGGTGAATGAGTTAAACTAATTACACTCAAGCATTAGGACTATATCATAATGATAGCATAATGTGCGAAATTTCTATTTCGCCCTATGAATATATAACAATTCTTCAAAGCACTGTGTATACAATGATCTGAGACTACAACAGAGGCATGATAAAATATTCAAAGTAACGTACAGTCTCTACTTCATTTTGTAGTAACTACATGTAGTTTTTGAAAAAATGTGTTTTCAAAGAGACATTTAGAACGGATTTCACGGATTTCCTGAAAACAGTAAACGTCGCGACTGAAGTTCAATGATACCAGATACATTATACAGGTATTAAACTACACTATAGAATCCGGGTACAAAGAAAAGATAAACATTTAAAAAATTGATAACGTTGTATCTAACAAACAAAGGACTATATTTTACTACCATCATCAACAAAGCATAAAGATTGCGTCATTTCTTCTTTGAAGCAACAAACGCCGTAAAAAGCAAATGCAGTAATAAATATACACTCACGTATGTATAGGGAACGTTAATAAAGTAATAACACATGTTCAACTTATGCTGTGTTTACTTTTCCCTTTGGGTCTTTTTCATTCTATAACTTATACTGACGATAAAAAATAGATGTTCATATTTTACAGTGAATATAGCAGGTGTAACATTGGGTTAATAGTACATTTTAGGAGAGGATCATTCGAAAGATTTATAACAACCTGGAAGAACGTATTATGCCAAAATTAACCATACAAACGACATCATAAGGACCAAAACATAAATATCATACAAGTAGCATCGGCGAGTCGAGATATCTATAATAGTGTTATATATTTCGGCTGCATTGCACTAAGCCATACTAGTGGACAGAAGTGTACTTAGAGTCGTGCACTTCGGGTCGTGCACTTAGAGTCGTGCACTTCGGGTCGTGCACTTAGAGTCGTGCACGATCGGGTCGTGCACTTAGAGTCGTGCACTTGACTTCTGTTTATATTACTTCTATACAGTATTCTTGCACAATAATTGCACAATAAAACACTGTTATCATTATCATTCTGACACTTTTTATCTAATTTATTCAATGCTTGCCTTTTATGGAAATTGATCCTAATTGTGACTTCACAATGAAAACAATCGAATGACGTTGCTTTTAGGTATAACGGACATAATATAAATAACGCTACATAACTTCTATTGGCAACTATTTCATACGCAAATGTATCTCTAATCGTTGTCTGTGAATTTATTGCATCTTACTCGATGACTAATTAATCGTCCCCCAATAAACATCATTGTCCTTCAAACGTGTTAGACTCCCTAACCTTAGCGCCTTTTCATTCTCTAACGATCTTCGCTTGTCTATGCTAAATATTATCATCACACAATATTTAAATTCATCTTCTATCTAGTTACTCAGGAATATGTATATACTCACCCATGATCCGAATACCAGACATATTCGAATATCCTCTCTCTAGATCCTACAATCCTGTTAGGTATATTCACCTCCAGAGACAAAATAGCATGCTGCTTTATAAATACCACGTAATTATTTAACCTGTTCACATCAGTGCTTGTAAGATTTCCCCTTACACTTAAACATGCTTTGATTTTCCTGGTCAGTGTGAATATTCAGTCCAACTGTCCTAACAATGCAATAAATCACAATAAGATAGAGTATATCAAGTCCTGTATTATCTATTCGACCAACTACACGTGGTAGGACGTCACGGACCACACGAGGGCACTAATTTATTAGCATATTCGATCTTTGTGTTTCAGGTAAAATATTAATGTACGAGGACCGAGGATCCAGGCCGAGGGTACCCGGTCTGTGAGTAGAAACTACAAGCGTTACGGTTCAGAAGGGGGTTTACAAAGAACTCTTTTGTACCTGAAATTAAACCTCGGAGCCAGAAATAAACGATACTTAATGCAACTTGCTCTTTAATTAAGTATAGTCAGCTTAGCAAGTTTCACGATAGGAAAATTGTATGCTGCACCGACAACGTGAATTGTATATGCCTGGTGGTAGTTTTGCACGATCTGAAAGTGTGTTGTTCAATTAGCTATGTATCACAAAGTGATATAAAATTCTGGAATATTTACTACTACTTGACAAAATTGAGCGGTTAAGGTTCTAGACAACAGCATCCTCGAAAGTTTTCGGGTATTCAATCACTCATTGATTTACAACTTATGAAATTCTACAAACGTGATCAATTCCTCCAGCCATAAAAAGTCGACAAAGCCTAGTCAACCTAATGCAAGTAACCTAATGCTTAAATGTTCTTTTTTCCCACTCAGAAACAAAAAGAAAAAAATCATCAATTAAATCTATCACACCGGTAACAAAAAAATATTATTGAGCTAAAACATTATTAGTTACATATTGTTAGACAGATATACATTGATGTATATTGTTAAGGTGAAGCTAGATAGCTCGACCTTCATCGAATCGACTTCGATTCGGTAGGGTGCTGAGGTACGTGTCTCCATATACCGCTGGACTGATTAATGGGGTCGATCGGTTGGGGTACGATCGATAATAACGGGACAACAGTACGATGAATCACTCTCAATCGTGTCTCTTGTCCGAATTGTTCTGTCAGAGGATTTCAAAGCTGGTTTAAACATGAACGATTTTATTTCTTTTCTGTAATAGAAATGTCACGACCTTACAGAGAAAGTGTTTTAGGGAGACTACATCGATCTTATACATTACGAAACAAGTGTAAGAAGTGATCTCCATTATGACTTGCCCTATAGCTACTAGCACACATTCTGGTATTAAATCAATGCGTGTTTCTGTGGCTAAATACCAAAAAATGTCAGTATACATTTCTTTTATATTTGCATTAGTGTAACTAACTTGACATTGAAAATAACTACTAAAATATATGTCCTCTAGATTATTTGGAGAATGTTAGTCTAAGCATGTAACATAAGTGATTATGCTTAAATATCAAATATTTTAAAACATTTTTTAGACCAGGACATCAAGGACATCTCGACGGTAGATAGATACATATTTGTTTATTGTACATACTGGTTTATGTGTACTTCATGTTTATATGTGCTTTGTTAAAATTATTTGATACATTTCATTTATAATGTATATGTTATTAGCTTTTTATTATTAATCAATAAAATAAGACCATACAATAATACTAATAAGACTGATTTATTTCTGTCCGCAACACTGTAACTGTAGCGTGTACATTGTATGTAAATACCTGAACAATAAATTAAAATGAAGTTTAAACTGGTGCATTCACACAAAAAAACCCAAAAAACACAAAAAAAACCCGAGTACAATACTATCTACCTCACTAAGGTCAGTTTGGATGTTTTGAGATTATGACGAGAAAATGTATCTATATTCAGAAGTGACAGGAAATTACGAGCCTACCTCGTTAAAAGCGCATCTGAAAAACATTACCTGGTACTAGTTAAAATGATTGAACACCGTCAACAATACTAACGTTCGAGGAAAACCGAGTTTGGATGACGTTCATCTCGTTAGTTTAGAATGATAATTAAAAAACCTTTCTAGACTTTGAAGGGGGACGACTGGAAAAGCTGAGTAACATTGAGTGGAATTACACTTTAATGATGAATATTTCGTTGCGCTATATTGCATCCTGTTACAATATATTATCGCTTGGTGTATTGGGTTTATATTCGTATCTCAATAATTTAAATTATGATAAACGAGCTACGACCCGTTTTTCATGTATTAGTACGTAGCTTCATAATTGATCTTCTATGTAATCTTGATATATAATCTTAAATTTGCTAATAGACATTATAAAATTTGGTTTGAGGATTGAATAAAAAAAAATAAATATAACATGTAACTAACTTGTCAAGACGTGTCTGTGATACTCAGTTTAAATGATGATGTAACGTTTTCTTCTTAAGATGCGTAAAGCGTGGGGTCGTTATAGTTTGTAAGTAGCTTCCTGGGATCAAGCATTACCAATTTGCAAAAAATGGCAAAGACCTACCTTAAAGTAAGCATGTAACAAGCTGTCAAAGTCTATCAGGTTTTGAACAAATTGATGACATTTCCTATTTTTCTAGGTCATATTCCTCAAATGCATAAAAAGATCTTACTTCAAACTACTTCTAACTTAAATATTTGGCCTACAGCATGCTATGGTCAAAGGACTTTGCAGTTTATTCAAAGGAATGACCTTGATGCACTTTCAATGTTAAAAGGGTCAAATGTTTAATTATCTCTGAATAGCAAAACGGTCTAGGATTACGAATATGATTTGCTGCATGATTGTGTGAAGGACCAAAAAGATTTGCAAATGAACGACCTTGGTCCATTTTAACGTCAAAATGTGTTAAATTTTATGATTTCTTTGATTTTTTAAAGAAAACTAGAACATCATATTTGACATGCAGAGAAAAAGGGGCTTTCGAATTTGTAATATGAATTTCTTTGACTCCATGCATTATACAATGATGCTTTAAGGCCTGAAGCTTACTGGTATGAATAGACATATAGTTTGTCCGAATGAATAATCTTAGTCACTCTCCATGTTTGTTCAAATGAATGACCTTGATTAACATGAAGGTCGTATGAATAAAATAGGACATTTTCCAAAAAAGAAGAAAAAACGTCCAGGAATTTTCCATGTAGAGTTCTCCTGCTGATTCCAAAGTGTGTTCAATATATTTGAACTTGACTCACTCTGAAGGTCACAGAAGTGAATAACAGTTCAACGAAGATAGATACAAGGTAATTGGAACTGTTGTATATGTAGGTATAAGGTTCTGGAAATTTCATGGAAGGGGGTAGAATTTGTTGGTGGTATCGAAGCTCTGTGAAGCAGCTGCTAATCAAACAGTGCTACACATTTGGCATCAGACATACTCTTACAATAACTGGCCCTTTTTCTTCTAAGCAATTGACGAAAAGGTCAACAGACACGTCTTGAGAAAAGGAACATAAATCTTAACGAAAGTGATGTTAGTGATCTGTTGACATTGTGAACAGGTATAAAAGATATCATAAAAATTGTAATACATATCAAGTGAAGTACAGTGTAGTACACCGGGTATGTCTACAATACTAGAGGCCATATACGTGAGTACAAACATGTTGGAGATAAAAGCCAAATGAATGTCTCAACACGTATAAGTCGGAATCAGTACACCAAGCCCTTATAGCAAATAATTCAGAAATTAAGACACACTGTAAAAAATAAAGCGAAATCTGTTTTAATACACCACAAAAGGGAAGGTTCAGAAGTAGTCTCTTAATATAGTACTTATAGAGTAAACAGCTTTGGAGCCTGTTAAGAGAAGGTACTGTTCAATAGTACAGGGTTGATCTCTCGAACCACAAGTCCAAACTAGATATGAACTGGAACATTGATATAATATTACTAGGAACATCAGTAAAATAGTATATATAACACGAAAAATTGCTCACACTTACTTTCGATTTCTCATGTAATGAAAAAATGGGACCGTTATATTGACACATATCATCAGTACAGTACCGGTTATAAGTATATTATGGTTAACACATACTTTGTATATACAGTGTACTTACCCATCATTCTCTTCGACATGGTGATTGTATGTTGTGTTGGTAATCAGAGAAATAAAGTCTTGTTTTGTTGTTATAATCAGTAAAGAAAGTGTTATCCGTTCTTCCTACGTCCAATCAAATTGTCACATGTTTCACATTCCCTTTACTTTCAACTTCTTTAATTCCATATCGTACAAGTCCAATGTGTTTCGAACTTTCTGTATATCCATGTCAACCATTCAATAATCCACAAGTCCAATAGTTTGTAAATATGCTACAAGACATGGTTAGGTTATAAGTCACGACGTTCCATGTTAAGATCTGTTCGTGACGTTCACGACTACACGCAACTATACGTATGTAGGTGAAGTATTTCTTATCCGTAATTGTCTGTTCAAACAAACGTCGAAGTCTGTGTCATAGGTATGATTAAAAAAAAACCCAACCATACCTTGTCTTCAGGACAGATTAAATCAGACGGATATACATGCACTTGTTACTTTGTATCTACATAGCTCAGAATGTATTGTGAGATGGTTTAAATTGAGAGAACAATTCATCAAGATTCATAAGACATTTAAATACATTTTGTGATAATATTATGTGTCATTAACATTTCCTACAAACACTAGCAAGCTGACAAATAATCCTATGGATTTCATAAAGGCAACATGGGGTATACATCAACATCACAGATATACAACAATACCTATACAATCCGATATGAATCTTTATACAATAACCCACCAAACAAATCTTCTTTACATGATAATGAATTACTATGAAATTGATAATTTCAAAGAACGTTATACACACAGCAAACAAAACAGAAAAATTCAACAGGTGATCAATGTGAACTCCCTTTTTAGCCTCAATTCAATGATCGATCGATTAGCCTACTGGATATTTAAGTGGTTATATCAAATTACGCGATCTTGCGTCAAACCCAGGTACAACCTGGAGGTAGTATGTGTATTGGAGGCGTACACACGTATTGTGGAGACTTGTGTCTAAGTAAACATTGCACATTTAAAGGCACAAACTCATAACTAGTATCGTCGACATACCTCGTTGGTTACTATCACGACACGAGCTGTAGTTCTGCGAGTTTTACCAAACATGTCTTCAACAGGAATGTCCCTCTAAATCATATTATAGGGGTTCAGCAACTCTACCATGCTAAATGTATTTTGCTTCTATTAAATTGTTAAATTATCTTTTTTTTTGGCCTTTAGCTTAAATTTCTATGTTACGAGACATGTCCAGCGCACTTTTCCCGTATTTCCGTTGTTTACTTACCAACACTAGGTCTACAGTGCATGCCACTATATAGCTACTTGTAGACCGCGAGTTCATGCGAGCTCTTAAATTTTGGTAAATTATTGTTGTCCGTACGCTTTAAAGAATTTCCATGGTTATTGTTAAAAAATCAAAATTATATCATAGGCGTAATTTCGTAATTAATTGTAATAACTTTGGACCCTTTTCGAAAAACAAAGCTCCCTTCATACTAGCAGTTTTTTCCAACTATTTGCCATGAAAACAATTGTATCCTACACAATCTCAACGACTTAAAAAAAAAAGAAGAAGGAAGCACATTTTTATATAAAATATAATTTAAATGAAATTTTTACCGTTTTTCTTCTCTCCAAAATATTTTTTGTCTAATCATTGAACTCATATATCGATAAATAATTACTAGAAGTATAACATAAGACTGTGCCTTTTTAAGTTGATGAACAAATTAAAACCAAACAAAGTACACACCTAGAGCACCCTACTTCCATTTCGTTCATTGAGCACTCATCAGTGTTATTAAATATCAAAATATTTTTTAATTTACCTCAATAAACACTTGTTTCCACGGATGTAATAAATCTAAGTGTTATATCTAGCCAGGAACATAGTCCTTTAAATATTCAAATATAGTTAGTTTGATACATTGTATGGGTAAATACGCGCATTGGAGCGAATACACACAATACCAATACAAAATACACGAACAGGACCTTCCTCCCACAAGTTAACATAGAGTTCAATCCTCGGCACATAACTGTTAGCACGCCCCAATAATACCCCAACCCTTACATACTATATATGTTACTTACTCATTTTTTAATTAAGTCTTTTAGAAATGATGACAATGGAATTTATTAGTCATAACAACTAAACTCTATATGAATTGTATCACACATACACAGTTCTGTATTTAAATATTAATACGTTAATTTTGTACAGCTATAAAACTAATAAACAAAAATATACAAAGCGTGCTATCAATTTACAGAAAAAAATCAAAACATGTTGCATTAGAAAAAAGATTGGTATTGACATTAAGATACAAGTATGTAAGTAGGAAATGCAAAAGTAAACGGTACATCGTGAAACACTCGTTTCATTTGAGAGCATCAACTTTGCAAAAACATCGGTTGCCGTCAGTGGCATAACGTGTATAGCCAATAGAAAACAAAAGATTGCCCATTGAATACTGTGTACAGTTGTTGGCCAAAAGTGATTTTTCAAAGATAGAAATCGCTTTAAATCGTGTGTAAATTTAAAACACCTATCATGTCATTTATTAACCGATTTTGAAGGGAGAAAAAAACTTTCACAAAAAATCATAGAAACTACTGCAGTTTCTAACGACAAAGCAATGTATACTTTCATTACCAACTTGTCAAATGACATAGAGTCGAACACACATCTGAACGTATTTGATCCATGAGTAAGTTGACAACGTAAGTATATATATTTTTTTTTATAAAAATCATTTTTATCAGTTAACCAGGAAACGCAATAGAGAATTCAAGTGTGAGGAGGAACTTCATAACTCCTTGATTTGAGCAAACAAAAATTAAAATGTATCAAAACGGAGACATTTTAAAGCACTTCTGATAAACATATGTACTATGGACGTTTTCACCCTAAACCATTGTACGAGTTCATTTACATCAAAATCACATTTACTTTGGAACAATTAATGTATACCAATATGCACCCTCGACATTCCAGGGTTAACCCTTACTTTCGCTCTGTGCAGAAAGCAAGCATGGGCGTAACCCATCGCGTACCGAAGATAGCCAATTTGATGCATATTGATATTCCTATACATATAACAAGTCTTTAAATCTTAAAAAAGTACATATAGTTGTTTATCAACTTCCTGTTGAAGGAATCACTTTTGTAACATTTGTAAGGACGAGCAAAGGTTATATCACGCTTAGGCAGATCTCGGTATATAATAAGTATAAAAAAGGAATGGTATTGTATTATGTATTTTTCATTTTTACAAAATGCACTGCTAGACGAATTGATCACAAAGCAGACTGTTTAAATAGCATTTCCTTTCTGCATACTTGTAAGAATAATTTGATGGCAATGAATAATTACATAAAATCTTAAATAAATACGAACATTTTTTAAACAATCGTAAACTATCAGATGCGTTGGTTGTTAGCTTAGGTACTAGTGATAACCAGATACGGGAAACTCATTCTATACCAAGAAATCACCAAGTTCTGCTTGTGCTTGAATTTCATGGGGGTTTTGTTTCCCTTTTATAAGTTAATTTATGGTTTCACAGTTGTCAATAACGTTTTGTTACTAGTTTTGTACCATATCGTATGCCATTGTGCAATACATGCTGTTACTCGTCTTGTGGTTCGTTTTTGTTTGCCAATCCCATTAACTGACTGCTGTATCCTGTTGTTCCTTAATGACTTGCAATGCTTTTGAACATCATTCCTTGTTTCTTAGTGCAATTGTTGTCGGGTTTTTTTCGACATATGTTCCTATAGTCCGAATTATTCTGACGTTTTATCGACTTTTTTCAAATCGGTCTGGCGTCGATTAACGATAATCGGTTAATCGACGCCAGACCGACATAAAAAGTCAGAATAATTCTGACTAATGTTCGAATTCCTCGTCTTGCAGGTTCTGGCCCGTTTCCGATATTCAACCACCTCACATAGTTCATCATTCCTTTAGATCTTCGCTGTTTGATAACGCAACTCTCTGGTCATTTCCTATGAAGTTAAAGTGTCACTTCCTGGCGTATTGTAAGTGATCTACCTGTCAAGTTGTAAGTAATCTACCTGTGTTTTCGATTCTACAATCGGCAGTATCCACGTTAATATATTGATTTATTTGTGTCGTTCGAGAGGGCATGCAATTTTCTGCATTCTCGACATTTTCTCTACGTCTTCATGTATATTATACTTTAATACCTCTGTTCCTAGAGTTTTCATTTCATGTCGACTTCAGTCTTTGTGTGTTTCTTTATTTTATTTCTTTAACGACAGGGGTTTTAGCAACCATTAAACGTTCAGACTGGAAGCTTCAAACACTAACGTTGCTTCTCCTTTATATGGAGGTTCATACAGCGAATCCAGTAAATGTTTATGTGTTACGTTTCAATGACTGGTACGATTTGTACTATGCCACCTTCGTCAGACTGTAATGTGAACTCTGTCACCTTCGTCAGATTGTGATGTGTACTCTGTCACCTTCGTCAGACTGTAATGTGAACTCTTGTCACCTTCGTCAGACTGTGATGTGTACTCTGTCACCTTCGCCAGACTGTAATGTGTACTCTGTCACCTTCGTCAGACTGTAATGTGTACTCTGCCACCTTCGTCAGACTGTAATGTGAACTCTGTCACCTTTGTCAGACTGTGATGTGTACCCTGTCACCTTTGTCAGACTGTGTTGTGTACTCTGTCACCTTCATCCGACTGTAATGTGTACTCCGTCACCTTCATCAGACTGTAATGTGTACTCTGTCACCTTTGTCAAGCAGTCTGATGAAGTTGGCAGAGTACACATTCTACTTGTCATCTAAATGTCACATTACTAGTGAAAATCCATACTTATCGACTTAAGAAAATGTGTAGAAATAGCTGATGCTTTCTGGTTCACGATGTCTGTCTGTCAGTTTTAATCTGAAGTCGCTTAGCTTAGCGTCTCTTGCATCATTGAATTTCTGTTTTGTCCTTGACTTTTGACACAACAGTATACCTTTTAACTAGATTACTTTACTCTTCAGTGTCGTAGTATTTTCATCAAGAATAAAATTAATGTAAATGTTAAATACTATCCGACTTGAACCTATATCAAAGTGCTACCTTACAAAGATCTTGATGTACATCTTCATTTTAATGTCGACTAATAATTTCAGCTTTACACACCTAAATGTATAGACACAACACAAAAGTCTGTTAAACTTAACATCTTTTATTAACAACTTTAATAATGTTATAACAAAACTCAGTTTAATAATAAACTTATAATTAAGTCTTAACAATAAATAAACACTCGAAACAATTCATCGTACCCGGAAGATTAATGACTCGTATTTCTAACAAGACATCAATTTTACAGCAACACTCCAGCCAGTTCAGTACGGTTGTTTCATTCTTTCTTGTCAGAAAGATAACCATCCACCTTTGATGAGTTATTGCTTTGATGAAAACATAGGTTTGCAATCAACATACTAAAATCTTATTTTACATAGACAGTAATCTGAAATCAGATTCTACAACAAAAAGGGACTTTTTTAGTCTGACATTCTTTTGCTCCTAGATGACAACTCTCTGATTTGCCTTAAGGGAAATTAACTTCATCAACTATCATTCCAGTCTGACATTCGTATGCTCTTAGATGACTACTCTCTGATCGGCATTAAGGAAAATCAACTTCATCAACTATCATTCCAGTCTGACATTTGTATGCTCTTAGATGACTACTCTCTGATCGGCCTTAAGGAAAATTAACTTCACCAACTATCATTCCAGTCTGACATTTTTATGCTTTTAGATGGCAACTCTCTGATTTGCCTAAAAGAAAATTAAGTTCATCAAGTTTCATTCCAGTTTCCGCCTCTTTGCTTCGCTGGAGTCTTCACTGGTCTGAAACTCCTCCAAACTCACAAAACGATCGTTATCTTCACAGATGGCATCTTCCTCACTATCAGAAAATAACGACTGGTCCCCAGAACACTCCTGAGATCAAGAAAAATAATTATAGTCTTCAAAAATATGTTTGTTTGTACGGGGTTTCACATCAGCTACAGTCATATGAAGAGGGTTCAAAGTATTGAAAATATTCAAAAGGAATGAAAATAATTAAAAGGATATAATATACACAATAGTTTGTACAACTTACGGAAATAAATTACTAACATCAGTTTACCAAAATTGGAACACCTGTGGGAAAACAGGCTAGGAAATTTCAGTTTTCATTACATTATACAACTGTATCTCCTGTTTTCCTGGCTGTTGATTATTGTCACATGGTCAGTTTAAGAAAGAAAAAAAATATTACAAATTTTAATTTTCTTAATTTACGTGCTGTGCGACCCTATCTATTTGGATATGATAGTTTGAAGATTTTTTTTATTCAAAACCTGCTGTTTAATTTTCTGCTTATTATTGATCCTTTTTCACAAAATATTAATCAAAATACCAAAGTTTCTTTTTCAGAGAACAGCTTTTACCAATTCAAGAGCCTTGGTTCTATTTATAGAACCTGGAGCCCGAAATTTTAACTTGTTATAGAAAATAAAAGTGGATGAAAAATTGTTGACCATTTTTGAAATTGATAATATTGTATAAAATGCATCAATATCTAACTAAAAAGTGTCCCATTTTGTGGTACAGTGACATCTCAAAGTATTAAATGAATTGAACGAGACAGATAAGAATGAAATAATCTCCTATTTTACCTGTATAATCTGGGTCTGTGGAGGTCCCTCAACGAAACTCACACTTTTTGTATTGATCCTTCTCTCACGGACACCTAAAACAAGCAAGCAATGCTACACCACAGTTCCACATGTACAAGTGTGCAAGAGTTATTTCTCCTTAATTAAGATTTATAAATATACTCACAAGCATGCTACCAAAGTGTTTTCATTAAAAACTTAAATTGCAAAGCCACATAATAACAGAATAAAAAATTTAAGTGACTTTTGGGAAAACATCAGAAAACAGCTGCAAAATGATTGGAGGTCACTCTCCCTTTAATTAATTAGTTTAAAACAAAATATCACTTATATTACCACTTAAAACCAATCAAGAATCAAAACTGTTAAACATTTTAGTCATTATACGTTATATTTTTATAATCCTAAAGGAAAAAAATAAAAGTAAAACAACATAGAAAACATTTATGTCATACTTCTTACATTAATACTCTTGAAAGAAAACAAATAGCTATATAAAAAAACACCCACCAATCACTACTGAATTATTATGTTAATCTGAAAACAATTATTTGAAAACATTGATTTTCAAAAAGTCTTAGGAACAGTTAACTTACCTTTAAGAATTCCACGAACATATTCACAACTTTTTCCTGGGTCTGTTAAAAAAATGATGATAGAAGTTTTAATTAGACAAAAAAAAACCACACCAATAAAACACAGGAACAAAGGACTAATGAATCAAACTTTGAAAAGGACAGAATAAAGAACATATGGACCTGCATTGCTTCTTTCTTAATAATCTTTTTTTTTCAAGATTATAACCAAAGGATTAAATCCCAATGGGCTTGGCCAGACCCCGGACCAATCCTGGCTGAATGAATATATTTGTCTCTTCATACAAATAGCAATTGTATATATGTTATTGGTGTTCTCAACTGTTTCAATGCTAAAACATTTGTGACCAAGTTCCCTGGGGTGGGGCCAGATCCTGAAACCAAGCCTTACAGCATGAGCATAACTTATTTATCTCTTCATGTCTAACATCTTTTTTTGAAGTTTCGTGATACCTATCTCAACTGTTTCCATGTAATGACCCAGGGAGCAATGTTCTAGGAGCAGCTGAGCATAATGTAATTGAGATGTATCCATACCCTGATGTCTACTATGTGTGTATATGGTAATATGGTGATCAGGACCTTAATTATTTTTATGCATTACAGATTTAAACGCAATCCAAACCCTCCGACTCTTTTAGTCAAAGCAACTTTATTCATCTGTGACAGTTTTTCAAGAAAGAGTAGGCTTTTGAGAATTAAACTACCATATTTTGTCCTATTTTGTGCCCTTCTTCTGCTCCTAGAGGGTAACAGACTTCATTTAAACAATATCTTATCTCCTTATCCTATTGGTTTTAATGCTACATCCATCGATTTGTAAAAATTCATCAAACCTTTCTGGAAAAGTTAATATTTTGAAAGTGAAATTCACAATTTTCTCCTGATTTTGGAACATGTCCCTTAAATGAGCAGGCTGGATGGGATGGGGAAACTGATTGCTATCCAAAAATTGCCATGTGTGCTTAGCATTATTTTTGGGGAAAAAACTGTGCTTCATTAGGATAGGGAGATTATTTAGTACAATAAGAATTCATATGCTGATGGACAGTGATCCTACCTGTCTGTTCAGTCTCTGTCTGTCCTTCATTCTGCATGTTTCCCTCTTGTGATGACGCCTTAGATGGCTTTACTGATTCAGTCTGCACTACTCTGGCCCTAAACATGGCAGAATACCGACTATAAGGGCTCAACTTGCCGGACTCTTCAGTCATCCCAATCCCAGACGTATCAGTCTGTCCGGGGTATGTAACATAACTCGAAGGTGTCTTTTTGCTCTCCATTTTATCAGCACCAGTCATCCTACCCGACGACCTTGTCTGTCCTGGTTTGTCTGTATCCATGCAGGTTTCTCTGGTTTCTGCAACATGACTGTACCTTGTCTGTCTTGCATCTGTTAAACTCTTTTGTCCTGTCTGTCTTCCAGCAGCTACACCCCTTGATGTGGCTTGTCTTTTGTCCGTAACATTTTCCGGTGAAGTCTGTTTAGTTGCCACACCAGTGGAACTCCTGGAAGCTATGTATGCACTGAGCAATGTCTTCCCTTCAAACAGCAATCCAGACTTGTCAGAACTCAACGTAAACTTCCCTCGGTTTCTTTGCTGCTTCTTTGCACTCATTGAACTCTCTTCTACAGGACCCAGATCTCCTATCGATGACCTCTTGGCTTGTGTCCTAGGCTTCCTCAGAGACAAAGACAATGGAGAATACCTTGGACTATCTTGAATGCACCCTTCTGATTCTTTGCCTTGCGCTTCCTTGGCCTGCTGGCCAAATCCTCTGTAAGATGAAATGAGAGTGGAGTTACTTGGATTTTCTAGGACAACATTGTCCTGCACTGTACTGTCTGAATCTCCATTTGTCTCTGTTGACACAATATCAGGATTATCTGGACTTTCTGGTGAATTTATTTCTATTATTTCATCAAATACCTCTGGCTTTTCAGAAGGGGTTACATCCACAGCTGCCATTTTTACAGATTCCTGTGGAAAATTTCCCTTCAATCTTTCTTCCAATGTAAGCAATTGGGGTCTATACCTGGAACTTGATGAAGCTTGTGAACCATCAACATTACTGTGAGCATGTTCATCTTCCTTGGGTGGTCTGGATACCCTTGAGGTTAATGATGAATTTTTCGTAACTTCTTCAGCAAGATTTTCATTCAAATCAGCATCTACAAGAAGGGAACCATATTGCCCATCTTCTGATATGTCCTGTACAAGTGTTATAGAAGCATCAAGGGTAGATGTTTCTCTTTCTGGGGTAGATGTGATGTCCTGTCTCTCTTGGTTTAAATCATTATCTACAGTGTTATCTCTACTGCTATCAACTCTTTCGTCTTCAATATGATCTCTAGAGGTATATTGTACAACCTCTTGGCTGCCATCTATCTCACTGCCTTTGTTAATGGACATGATATCAGAGTTGGTGGTCAATACTGACTGGTCAATATGAGGGTCATTCTGCATTTTAATCCTGCCTCTGCTTCGGTCACTTGGTTCTTTTCTATGTTCCCCTGTATCCTTTGTAGGGTCATTAAGTTTATCTGTGAAGTCCTGATAAACTCTGACAGGCAAAGTCTGGACCCCCCTATCAGCCATGTCTGTGGTTGCCATGACACCTGTGTTGGCCACCGCTGCCACCCTGGTCTGGGTGCTTGCCACCTGATGGGATGTGTAGGTAGTCTGAGTGTGGTTAGTGGTGAGGGCTGGACTGAAGGTCTGGGTGTGGGCGGGATGAGTGATTTGGGTTTCTGTCTGTGAGGGCACGGTGACCACTTCCACTGAGGTCTGACACGATACGTCTTCGACCTCAAACAAACTCACAATGGTCTGAACTTCTGTGTCACTCTTTGGCACGTCCAGCTTGGCCTGAAAATGATTCACACAAGATGCCTATCCAGTTATATTATTATATGTACAAGTAAAGAACCTCCAACTTTTCATGCTTTTTTAGTTCTGGAACAAAATCTAAGGTTTTGAATTTTGCAGAATACCATCAACATTTAATAACTCTAACTAACTCTATGTCAAAAGGAAACAAATTTAAAACTATTTAGTTTACATGTATAGCAATTTTCTTCATGTCACAATAAAATCTCAGCAAAATATAAACACTTAATGGTAGTAGACTATATTCCACAATTTAGTGTTGATTTTTATAATCTATAATCGTCAATTAACTCATGCTTGCTTTAAGTTTTTCTTCCGTATTGAAGCTTTCTTATATTTCATAAAACATTATTTCTACTGCCATAAAACCTTGGCTTCCTGCAGACTGGTGGACAGCTGCAGGTTGTGTTTGGCCCAGTCTGAGTTGAGCTCCTCCAGCTGTTGACAGTTCTTGGAGGACAAGGCAAGGTCAGCTGTCAGCCTCTCTATCTCCAAAGCTGTCTCTGCACTCTGGCCAAACATTAAAATAAAATAAAAATAAATTTCTTTCATCATTATCTCGACAAACTAACAGTATGCTTCATTTTTGCAACAGGAGTGGAATATCTCAAAGACTAGACTGTCGCTCTAACTGAAACTGTAGACCTCCTTATTTGCTACAAATGCCCTTAGACCAACAGAGCTACCTAGCCAACAGACTGAACCCATTCAAGTTACACTTTGCTGTTATGTTCAGGTTAAATAATTAAACGTTTTTTCTTTAATATTTCCATGAAGGAATTTTAATGATTCAAACCTCAGTATTCGTACCCACCTTCACGTTCCATTGTTCCGCAGCCTGTCGGTGGAGAGACGTCTGTATGTCCAGCTCCCTCTGAGTAGAGTCCAGTGCCACTTTGAGGGCCTCACACTTCTTCTCCAGATCCTCCTTGTCCTCTCGAAGGATCCCTGCCTCATCACGATGAGACGATGCGTTGGCTAGGTGGCGCTCTATCAGAGTGTAGGAATCCTGTAGTTTTGCCAAAGTCTCCTGTCAAAGAATGTTTGTTTAAAATCACAGGCACAACTCAGAGTACCTCAGTTACTAGTGGTAAATGTATTTATGAAGGGTTTTATTTTATGTTCTAATGTTTGTGTTGCGATGCATACAACATTACGTAAATCTAAGCTTTAGTAAACAAGGGTTTTAGTCTTCTAAAAGGCATTTAGACAAAAAAACTAACCATAATCGATAAGATATGTAAGATTCACAATTTACAATATAGATGCTAATGATGCTCCCCCCCGCCCCAAATAACTTAAACCTCCATTCTCATTTTTACACACACTTTTTATGGTATTACTTACTTATCTCTATCTTAAGTTTGAACATTGAATTTCCTTGCCCAAGGGATGCTCAAAACCAATTTAAATCAGTATGTAGTCCATTCTGGCCTAGTAATGTTTCAAATGAAATGAACGATGAAATGATCAGATATGAACTTACAACCTGTATTAATAAACATTTTGTGAATGTAAAATTGACTGAAATACTTACCTTACACCTGGACTTTAGTTCCTCAACCTCCTTTTCTAGAGTTTCCACCGCCGTGTTTCTCTGATGTGCTCATGTGTAGAAAAAATACATTTAGGGTGATACTTTTTCAAAAATGGGTTGGAATAACAAGTTTATAGGAGTTCCTTGTAATAACCAAATAGATAAATTGAGGGCTCTGCTTGAAAGGACATACTTCCAGAACAAACATATTTGGCAGATTCATATACACAGGTCCATAATTATGATAGATGATATCTTATACTTCAGATGTAGCAGACTGGACAAGGTTTTATAATCAAGGGCAATAACTCATTTAATTGCCCCTCCTTCCCTCACCTTGCTGTGGTTGGGAGACTTGCATGTTTTGATGAATCCAAGAGCTATGCTAGACAGGTACTTATATGACAGCTAGATCAAGGTGGGGGGGGGGGGGGGGGGGGGGGAACCAGATGAAGAGCATTCACTCATCTCCTTTATACCAAGGGATTTCCTAAGTGTCGTTGCAATGCATGACAAAATAGAAATATAGCACATTGGTATAAATCACCTAATTACAACACTGGAATCTCATCTTTTCCCATCCTATTTTTACTTGTATATCTATTCTTGACCTTTACACTTTTTTAAGTTACCTCCCTTTGCACCCCTCAGACTTGACAAGGCTATGCTAGGGTGAATCAGGGGCTATAACTTAAAAACAGGTTTGACTAAGCCTACCCCATCCAGCTTCTGTGTGAGTTGGGCCACATCCAGTTTTAGTTGGGACTCTGTAGACACGGACGGCTTGTCTTGTAACCTCTTATTGGCCTCCAGTAGTCTGACCTCTAGGCTGGAAATGACCTCTCGGTCTCGACCAATCAGACACTTCTGGTGCTCATTTACATATTTCAGAGTTTGGTTCAGCTTCATGGCTTCCTTCACTGTAACCAAACAATTGATAAATAGGAATTATTATTTACTAAATTTTATGGGCAGAGCGTACTCGATGAATGTACAGTTACACATGTCTTTCCCAATGCATCACGTTGCGATTCATTGTCATGACAAATTTTCATCAAAGTTTATACAAAGGCCAGTTATATGGATACTTCAGATGAGTTAGTATTACAGGGTCCAAAGGTGTAAAATCAAGGTCACTGTTTCTACTTAAAGTATTCTTTTGTTTTCTTTCAATGAAGCCTTTTTGTTTGTTTGTTCCTGTCTCACAGACTAAATTATCGCTGTAGTCAACTTTGTGACGACACTTACTGAAGTTATCACTTGTCTGTATCACAGGTTGTGCTATAATGTTTGTTTGTTTGAATTGGTTTAGTTTGTGTTTTACGACCTATTAACAGCTATGGTCATTTAAGGACGTGCCAGGTTATGATGGTGGAGGAAAGCTGGAGTTCCCGGAGAAAAAACACTGACCTACAGCCAGTACCTGGCGACTGCCCCACGTAGGCCGCAACCCAGTAGTGGAGGGCTAGTGGTAGCTGAATGTCAGACACCTTAACCACTTGGCCAACTCAAGATCTATGCTGATGTATTCAACATGATGAAGCATTTCTATTAAACACAAAAATATTGTAGGGATATATCTAACTTTTTAATCAGAATTCAGAATCTTGTTGATTTTTTTTTTGCGGCAGGAAGTTTTAGTTATATCTGTCATTTAAACAGGAATTTGATCAATCACGAGTATTGATTTCAATTTGTAACTTAGATGTACATATGATATCAATTATCAGTCAGAAATCTGTTGTAAAATACTATTTGCCGAGTCATTGTTTGACCTTTAAACTCTTTGTTCTAGTTGGTGGGTGGGTAAACAAATTAAAAGATTAAACACCACAGTAGGATTGATGGTTTTGTAGAATCATTATTTCTCATCATTTCCTTCAGTAAAACCTTCCTCTAAATTTCCTTAGTTCTCATCTGGAAATCTCTACTTGGTGTTATAGTCATTTTAAGATATTTGATTTTTATATGATGATTTTGTATTCAACAAAAATAGTCCTAATATAATTGAAATTCATTTCAGGAATAGAATAATGCCAGAATATTTAAAAATTTAGTCCTTTTAAAACTTTAGGTGCTATATATTCAAACATTTCTGATATTTGGTCAGGGTATAAAAAGTATCCGGGCGTACATTTTGGTCGGGTCTGTAAAAAGTATCCGGGGGGTGGGGAGTTGAAGAGAGGTTGGGTAATGACTATAACTGTAAATGTTTCTACTTGACTCACCAAACCTTATTGTGTCCAGTGATTGAAAATGATTTTGGCATAATTTCCTGGCCCCGGGGGTGGGGATTGCTGGGGTAGGGGTGGATAAACATGCAACTGTAACCTTCTGATCAACTTCTGAACTGTTTTTGATTAAAATATTTGAAACATTTGTTTTTTTCATAGGGGGGTACTTTTTATACAGGTGTGTGTGTGTGTTACTTTTTGGTAGGGGTATAAATAGTATCCAGATACTATCTATAAGCAAGAGGTACATTTTATGCATGACACCGGTCTTGATCCCCTGCATTCATTCCTCCAACCTACAGCAAAGTACTCACCAGAGACACACACTATTAAAACCCTACAACAATAATATAACTTTCCTGGGAATAGTACAAAAAGTCATAAAGACAGAGATTACAAATCTGCGTCCTCGGTCGCCAAAATCTAGATGAGGGCACAAACACTTTTATAACTGAACCATCTGGTAACCTGCAATCGACCCAACTGTATTGTTGAATGGGAGTGACATGTACACATTACAGACCTGAACAATGTATGGATATGTTTGTCTAAACTATACAGGAATTTACTCAAACCAGTGACATGCATTGTCACACAAACTTTCAGATATATGGGTTTGTTTACCAGGCTGACTTTGCAATAGTTTTTTTCTATGTGACCAGGGATGTAAACATGTACCCTTTAACATACACAAGTACCTTAACTCATTCACCCCTGAAATTTCAAAATGAACTAGTCTAACCTTTGAATTGGAAGAGTTCAAATGTGTCTTCAGAGTTGAATGAGTTAATTACAAGACATAAGGCAATGCCCAGTGATAAGCCCACCCCTTAAATTAAACATAGTATCATTTAGACTTCTGATGGTAAACAGGAGCATATTTGGGATAAGTTCATGGTAATGATACTATTTTACCCTTGTATTAGGGTAAATGAATCAAACACTTCTGAATTAATGCGACATCATTTCCTTATCAAAATAGTTTCACATTAGCATAAAACTTGTGAATAATTTTATAGCTGATACTTTTGATATATATCGGCACAATTGAAGGGTACAAGATATATATAACTCATCAATTTCACTGTCTCAACTGTCACATATTACTAAGCAAAGTACTTATGGGAGATATGGGAGATAATGCTAATAAATAGACATCCGACATAATTTGCTACGAAGCATATACCCTTAACTATAACACATCACAGGTACAATTTGTTAGGTAGCATGTACCCTTAACTTTAACACATATCACAAGTATGAATATTCTTCAGATGTGTGTAAGGGCTAGACTCAGGAGTCTTACACTGGTTAAGAAATATAGATCTCAACCTATTTATAATACCTGACAAGTGTTTTACAGACCATTCTATGATTTATAATCTGATCGGTGAAAGGGTAGCCCTGACGTGTTATTGCCACTACTGTTATCAATAACGTGTCCCATGGGCAGGACCATAAAATCAACCTTTTTTTACATGTTTTATTTTATAGTGTTACAGAACCATAGACTGATTTCATGACAATAGCTTTAAATTTATTCATTTATATGTGCATACAATGTACTTATGGTTGTGTCATAAATACCCTTGAAAGCATGATTGATATTTTATGAAATTTACCACTAGCTAATTATACAGATACATGCACTGATTTGTTGGCCTTATTTTACAGCAGATAATACAAGATGGTTCCCCATTTTAAGCAAGAGTGCTTCGCTTTCCCAAAATGAAGAAAAATGAGAAATGCATTCCAAATTCCAATACAGTACCAGTATATTGCTGTATTTTCCCAACTTAAGAAGAAATAGACTGTAATAATTTAACAATATCACTGACATATTGTTCAGGAACTTAAGATTGAAGGTTGTAATTGAAAATCATGTTTATGATAAAAGAAACAAGACTTAAACTGCATGAGCAAATTTAGTCTAGCCACATGCATCATAGTATCTATATTTAGACCTATGGTATTCTTGTTTAATGTTAACTGATTGTATAGCAACATTAATTAACATGAAAGGGAAACTTTTGAATACAAATGAACTAAGGGCCATATCTCTGTACAAAGTTGGGCATAATTAAGGGCCAATATTCCACATTCTGAATATGCATAAGCCATTTTGGTGAAAGCATGTGAAATAGTAGGGAAATCATTGCAGGACCAGTGTGCTATAATGTTGCAAATAATATGACATGAGACCTGATAATAATAGTATACAACAATCCATGCACCTTCCCAAATATTGCCAATTTTTTGAAATTTCCATGGGGGAGATTGCGTGCTTGATATTAACACCGGATATAAAATGTGTGTACATACCCTTCAGAGACAAATTAACCCGTTTTTTTCCTTCTTCATAGGAAATCATTTGATCTTAAAATGTAAGAATAGTTCAGCAATTTCAATGGTTGAAAATATTGAATTTAAGGGTCCAAAATCAGGAGTCTCCCTCCTAAATAGGGAGAGTTGACAAATATGCCAAAATACAAATGAACATTAAGATAGGCAATTTTACTTAACTATTCTAATTAACTAAAACTGAAATATCCATGTTCCACAAATAACTTCTTGGAATTAATGAATTAATTAATTTGATAAGATATATGACACAGCATAAGAGACAAAGACGTACATACCCGTACTGGAATATATTTATTTACGTTAAGATCACGCCCAAGTGTAATTAACAAATTGATTATCATGTGATATCAGCTTACCTGTATTAACGACCTTAACCTATGGTGTTTGAGGTATACTATATCAGCAGTCTCACATGGCTAACTCATAATGTACAATTCATATATATATATGTCTTGAATAACATGCCTTTTATGGTAAATATCCTTAACCTACTTCCAATCATGAATGTATGTATTCAGATATGTGGTCTGTGTAAATGAAATCTCTAGCCATTAGTTCTAACTTACTTTATTAACTGATAAAATCAGAAAATGACAAACAATGGTCTCCTTTGAAGACCGGCAAATTATTATCCGGAAACCTGAACATGCCCTACTGGGTTATTGTGGTTTTCCATGCTTTCCAATAAATTTATTATTTTCAGAACCAGAGTTTGATTATTTTTTTAATTAACATTTTACACATTTACCATAGTACTATTTACAAGCCTGGCAGTAACTGATATCATTTTTCATAGGAGGGAGTGCACCCCCTCATCACAACACTCGATATGTCATCAGGGACATCTGAGAGGGGTTTAAATCAAAGTGGAGATGACCGCTGACCTTACTGTTTAAACAGTAGGTAACAATGTCTGTCATACTGAAGCAGTGTCCTTAGTCAAACTGACAGGTCGACAGTGTAATAAACGCTTATGAATGGAACCGTAACAATGTAAATATATTTGCCTGCTGACAAAATATTCTTGTATTATGGAATCAGTGTTGTGAATGTTCTGGATAGATTGGACGTGGCTTGACTGGGATGTTATATAAGGATTAACAACTTTAAGTGTCAATACAACAAAGTTACATAGTCACTGGATGGCGACAGGGAAGAGAAAGGGGAGATAATCAATACCACACATCAGGTTGGTATTAATTGTTTTACACGATTGTGATTGTTTTATATGATTGTGATTGTTTTATATGATTGTCATAAATGCCAACCTTACTTAATTGGGGAGAAACCTATGTGACAGAATCCAGAAGTATCTTTATGAAAGTTCTTACAATGGTCTCTATGTCACTGACCTGATTCAGGACATTAGTTATGTAATGTAATGCATTAATGAATTTTGGCATAAAGTGAGGTACAGGAAATTTTGATGATTTTGAAACTGAAAATGAGGGTTAAGATTTGAGAACCTCCAAAATTATTGGTTGACTTGCATTGGCAAGTATTAATTATCACTATCATGTGATTTCTGAATATTTTCACAGTTATAAAACGATATAAATATTTTACTTATATATATATATATATTTTAAGAGTCACATTATTTTAAGGCCCAATGATATATCTGGTATGGAGAAATTTGATATCTTAAGTTGAAGGCACCACTACCAGTATTTAATCATTGAATGATCTGGAATTGTAATAGTATTCCAATATGCTAAGAGACATAGTACTGTTTTTAGAAAGACCTATTCATGTATGCTTAAATCTTGGGAAGAAACAGTGATTCCCGGGTTCCCAGTCCACTGCTCTACCATTTAAATAAAAGGAAAATTTCCTCTGGTGTGAGGCTATCATGTAATTGCCTGTGATCCAATCTACGATAGTAAAATCTCCTCCGTTTTAGTGTTTCTCCACACTATAACTATAAACATCTCCTGCATTTATCCTGCAATACCTCCAGGGGGAAAGGGGTGCAAGACATAATCTCTAATTCGAAGTAGGAGGAGATGGAATTACTGTAAAGCAGGGAACTTTCACCCAGTTAAATATTCACCCTTTTCAGATAAAAGTTCCCCTAGTGTTAGTTTTGCTATTCACGTGTAATTGCTATATAGATTGTAACGCATGTTGTGTTCTTAGAATATTTGCTGTCATGACAAATTTACCCTCATTGGGGAGCGCCAAAGAGGTGAAAAATTAAATTAATTTAATTCTTTATTTATTTTACGAGGATTACAAACAGCCTGAAGGCTACTAGATGCTCTCCTCATCATATATCAAACATACAATATGTACAATTACACAAAAGACGTACAAATGTCGCACACACTTGCACTCACACATACACAAATTACAGAGAGAGAGAGAGAGAGAGAGAGAGAATCTTTTTGAATTTACGATATATTCAACAACATGGTCAAATAATGTTTTGTTCTCAATTTCGTTTAGAGTTTCTAATCCACATAAAATTATTTTGACAAGAACATTTGGCATGAGCTCTACAATAAGGTTGGAATTGATATTTGGAGCGAATATATGACAAACAGCACGGAGCATATTGGAACGAATTCGGTTATATTTTGGACAAAGTAAAAAGAAATGAATTTCATCTTCCGAGGAGTTCGCGCAAAATTAAATTGTGTCCAAATTTCTCGGTATACAGTTTTGGGTTGACTTATTCCAGGCATTAGTTTATTCTCAGATTAATACTGTAATGTAATCTGTCATTGTATTCAACTAATTGATTTTTTTAAACTCTACTTCATTTGCACTTAAAACAAAGGGCCCAGAGGGCCTGCATTACTCACATGAAAATTTTATCAACTTTAGCAAACTATTCTCAATGAAAGTAAATATTCCAATTTTTGTAGCATGTGTCTCCAAATCTCTATGCTCGGCAATTGTATGTTAAAGGGTGGTGATCTGAAACGTTTCAATCCCTCCAACTGAGAAAGCTTCCAACCAAATATGGTTGATATCCATCTCTTAGACCAGAGAAAGAGTTTCTCAAACCTATATTGCCAAATTATCCCTTTGGCCTGTCTGTCGGTCACCCTGGTGTTCAGCCCCTACTATTTGTACAATTTTGAATCCCTGAACCACCTGAGAATGATTTAAACCAAACATGGTAGATATTCATTCTAACGTAAAGTAATCGCTAGGAATATAGCCATACTAGCATTTTGGTCCAATCTCTCAATCCCTCCATTTGTATAAGTTATCTCATAGTTTTGGACCTTTAAAACAATAGTGAAAAATTATCCTTTTTTGCCATGTTTCTCAGCCTCGTGGGTGAACAGCCTCGTGGGTGAACAGCCCCCCACAAATATGAATCTCCACCACCTAAGAGTCTTTCATGTCTGTTGATATTCCAATCAGCTGTTAAGAAGAAAAAGACATTCAAAGACATTTTTCACCCACAGACAGACACCACACCACAGTTTATAGCTCACCTTTGTCCTTTATTTTTAATTCCTGCTGCATGGTTGAAATAACTTTCCACGAATATACACAATGTATAAAGCTGGTAAATGTCAAAAAGTAGTTAAATAACAGTAGAGTAAAATGTAACCCCTTTTACTAACCCCTTCACAAGGAGGAAAAGTAATCCTTGAGTAATGAAATTTTGATTTGATAAAGCACCTTAGGACCTTACCATCAATGAAAAGTATTCTAGCATATCTGGATGTGAAGATGATTGTTCAAAATTTCAGCCAATTTGACCCCTTTTGGCCTGACCCTCAGGCCCTAGCTCGGGAGAGTCTGGTACTAAATGTTCATACCATCACATATTCCAACCAAGTTATAATTACGACTACCCACAGAAAAAAGAAATACAGCTAAAAGTGTTTATTTCTATATAAACTTTAGTAAATGTTACCTCCGCGATGGGAAATGAGTGACCAGGGTTAATGAAATCAACACTTTGATAAAGCACCTTAGGAACTTTCATCCATGAACAGTATTTGATTCTAGCATATATGGGTCTGAAGAAGAAGACTGTTGTAATTTTAGTCAAGTTTAGCTCAGGTTGTCATACCGTTAAACTTCAATAATATGATTATGATTAAAACTGAAATTGAATGATGATATTAACTATAGTACATTTTACCTCCTTCCCAGTGGGGATAAGGAAACACAGGGAAGATGAAATTCAGAATATTTACAAAGAATGTCATATCAGGGTCTGAATTTGACCTCTTTTGACCTTAGCACTCAGGCCCCTCTGGGTTAGATCCATATGATACAGAACTTTGGAAACTTTCTGCAAAATTTTATTGAAATCGGTTCTGTGGTTTAGGAGAAGAAGTTAAAAGGTGAATTTTGCTTATGCATAGATGGACGATGCAAGACAATGGACAAAAGACAATCGCAGTAGGTCAACTGTGACTTTTTTTTCCATTTGACCTAAAAATGCACGCAGAGAACATACATTTCTTATAACACAAGAACAAGCAATTAAAATAATTGACCAATGTACATCAAAAAGCTGTATGATATTTCATGGAAAAAAAACAATTGAAAATTTCAGCTATGGAAAAGCATGACAATGTGCTATTAAGGAGGCTCCACCCTTTCGCAATTAGCCAGCAGAATTCAATGAAAGTTTCACATAATGGTTATGTCATTATGTAGAGATGATTTTATGAAAATCTAAGCATTTCGATAAACTGGGGATTTTTTTGTAAAAAATACTGAAATATTGAATTTTTGTCAAATTCAACACTTTTACATTTTTTGAGCGTGTGGCATTGTTCAAAACTATAACAACAATAAAATAATGAAAAGAAACATTGCTAATCAACCCTACAAATATTTTATTTATCATAAAATATCTACAACATGTTACAAAAAGCTTTTTTTATTGAAATTGTATGGATAACAGTTACTAAATACAAGCTAAAAGCAAACAGGACACATAGTTTCATACAAAAAGACTGAAAAATTGAACCAAATGCACACAAAGTCTTTATAATTAATTTATTTTACATTTTACAATAATTTTGA